ACACAAGAGTTTTCACTAAAAGTATTCTAGATATTATTCCAAAACCTATAGCGCAAGCTGCATCGCCTTACTCTAACTTAGCCTGATGTAAAGAATAATATAAGACTCCTTTTAAGCTTCCGCTGGTTAAGAAAAGATGGGACATCTTCATAACCTGTCAGCAAAAGATGGGACATCTTTCTGACACAAGAGTTTCCACTAAAAGTATTCTAGAAATTATTCCCAAACCTAGCGCTGTCGCTGCATGCATCCATGCACCGTTTTACTCTAACTTAGCCTGATGTAAAGAATAATATAAGACGTATACTCCTTTTAAGCTTCCACTGGTTAAGAAAAGATGGGACATCTTCATAACCTGTCAGCAAAAGATGGGACATCTTTCTGACACAAGAGTTTTCACTAAAAGTATTCTAGATATTATTCCAAAACCTATAGCGCAAGCTGCATCGCCTTACTCTAACTTTAATAGCCTGATGTAAAGAATAATATAAGACTCCTTTTAAGCTTCCACTGGTTAAGAAAAGATGGGACATCTTCATAACCTGTCAGCAAAAGATGCGACATCTTTCTGACACAAGAGTTTTCACTAAAAGTATTCTGGATATTATTCCAAAACCTGGCGCTATCGCTGCATGCGCCGCTTTACTCTAACTTAGCGTTGGTGTAAAGAATAATATTATAGACTCCTTTTAAGCTTCCGCTGGTTAAGAAAAGATGGGACATCTTCATAACCTGTCAGCAAAAGATGGGACATCTTTCTGACACAAGAGTTTTCACTAAAAGTATTCTATATATTATTCCAAAACCTATAGCGCAAGCTGCATCACCTTACTCTAACTTAGCCTGATGTAAAGAATAATATAAGACTCCTTTTAAGCTTCCACTGGTTAAGAAAAGATGGGACATCTTCATAACCTGTCAGCAAAAGATGGGACATCTTTCTGACACAAGAGTTTTCACTAAAAGTATTCTAGATATTACCCCAAAACCTATAGCGCAAGCTGTATCGCCTTACTCTAACTTAGCCTGATGTAGAGAATAATATAAGACTCCTTTTAAGCTTCCACTGGTTAAGAAAAGATGGGACATCTTCATAACCTGTCAGCAAAAGATGGGACATCTTTCTGACACAAGAGTTTTCACTAAAAGTATTCTAGATATTATTCCAAAACCTATAGCGCAAGCTGCATCGCCTTACTCTAACTTAGCCTGATGTAAAGAATAATATAAGACTCCTTTTAAGCTTCCACTGGTTAAGAAAAGATGGGACATCTTCATAACCTGTCAGCAAAAGATGCGACATCTTTCTGACACAAGAGTTTTCACTAAAAGTATTCTGGATATTATTCCAAAACCTAGCGCTATCGCTGCATGCGCCGCTTTACTCTAACTTAGCGTTGGTGTAAAGAATAATATTATAGACTCCTTTTAAGCTTCCGCTGGTTAAGAAAAGATGGGACATCTTCATAACCTGTCAGCAAAAGATGGGACATCTTTCTGACACAAGAGTTTTCACTAAAAGCATTCTAGATATTATTCCAAAACCTAGCGCTGTCGATGTGGCATACTCCAAATTTGATATTTCAACTATGCTCTATAGGTATAGCCACAAAAATATTGCGGGATATTGTCAAATCTGAAAGCCAGGGGTACGGCTCATCTCCGCGTTTACTCATCACTAGCTCGCCCGGGAAATAATCTGGCGATGCCCAGCGTAATGTCTAATGAGAATGACATCAAATTTAGTTCAATGGGCCATTTCAGACTAATTTTCGATTCTTTTAAAAATTCTTATACGCAAGTTTAATTTGAATGCTGATATCTCAGTCAATATTTCGTGATATTTCATGTATAACCTATCAAAATTTAAGTTAGCCTTTTATGAATACAGCTACATTTATTTGAGCGATGTATAGCTCTTATAGTTTTTTAGCTATGGTAGATCAAACGCCTGAACTTTTTTTGCGCCACACGGTATATATATATGTAAATAAATATTATTTGTCTTAAGCTACCTTGTATCAAAATATAGAAATGAGTATATTAAATAACGAATGTAGTACAATCAACTCGCGGTTGTGATAGCCCTGCTTGAAAGCCGTGGTATCTAGCATACTGTATACTAAAGAAATAATAACTGATGCGTGCTGCAATACCTATAGGCTATAGCCTTTTGACTATTACCTAACCTTACTCATTGAAAATACTTCGCATTAATCTTTAATCTTTATTCTTTAATAAGCAGCCATCAAAATATTGCCAGTTTGTTCGATCTTGATCTCCATCCTGAATCCATACACACGATTGTCAAGCAGAATGCACTCTTCTTCAGACCATTTGGCGCAATTTGAACTTTGCGCGGCATTGTCTGCTAACATTATTATGAATTGGTGATGACAACCTGGTTTGTATGTTAGTTCAGTTAGTTATTTGCTACATCATATCTATGGGGTTAAATTTCATGCACGCATAAATTATTTCACTATAAATTTATTATACATGTCACCACTCTTACCACCTCGACTAATAATGCTGCGGTAACTAACACCTTCAAGATAATTCAATTTATAGGCGTGCGGGTCGTCATGAACGTTTATTCAGCACGAGACATCTGCGACAATTTTTAACATTTTAAAACGGCACTGCTTATTGTCACCTGTGTGTGTGTTTTTTTCTATAGTAAAACAAACTAACCCCCCTTTTTACCCGCGCTGTATTGATTTTGGAAAAACTGGGGACGAGGCAACTTCGATCCCAGGGTATATGGAAATTAAGGAAACATTTAAATATTTTTAAAAGCAATCAACGCAAGATTTTTGTAATTAAATTCAAATTAAACAAATATGTTATTAAAATTGAATAAATAAATAATTAAAATTGGCTTCTTTAGCTTATTTAATGAAGAATTAAAATATATCATGACGTCATGTGCGCGACATGTCGCGCGGTCCCCACGAAAGAGCGCGTAAAGGATTCTGGGATTAAGATGCGCGTCCTTTCGAAATCTGCTTCGAATTCAAACGGCTGTGTGTTCACTTGCTCGCCGAATTTTATTAAATTTTTCCATTTGAAAGTTTAATATGGATCTACAAACTGCATCGTTATTTAAACAAACTGCTAGTGTGGACAAAGAATGCGAACAGATACTGGAAGGTAATGTTTTTGTTGAATATTTATAGAATTAGAAAAACTCACGTGCTCCAAATAATTCGTTGCTTGCGACAGTTGCGAGCAAATCGCAGCGGTTAAAATCTAAATTCTGCTACTGCTAACATATTTTGAAGTAAAGTATTACAGAATAATAACTATGACGCACTTAAGGTTTGTTCAGCTCAATCGCATTTTTAGTATATTCAGTTGCGTTTTAAATATGTAGATTTGGCAGTTGCTGTTCAAAAACTTCAAATTGTATGATTTGCACATTATCCGGCCTTTGTTTGCAACAATAGATCTGTATTCATTTACAAGTTACAACTAAATTTAAAAATGCCTGCCCAAATTGCATGCCAGCTGCTGTAATTGTAACTTTGTAAGCAAAGGTTAAACCATCACAGATGTATGAATATTCTTGTTCTCTTAAATCTCTTTAGTTTTATACAGTATAAACTGTGAATTGAGATAAATTATATAAGCACACTATAAACTGTCCATAACAACCATTACATGTTAATAAACAATGCTGCGACACCAAGGTTGGCCGAGGTTAGGAGTATTATTAATGACGGCCTTGCCTGTATATGCAAAACCAAGTGACAAAATATTAGTGCTGTGCTAACTCCGGGTTAAATTTCATCTCCGGCAAGAAAAAACTCTGGCTCCGTGGTAAGTTTGAATACATGTAATATTGGAATAATATTCCCACTCATAAATATATAATACAGTACATATAATTTATATTCTTTAGATAATTGAGGAAACAAGAAGTTAAGAATCTTGAATCTCGATTGTGTTGCATGATGCCAGTTCGCAGATGGGAGTGTTGAGCGCCTGTTGTCGGAAATTGACTTTTTAGTGTCTTATGGTATCAGCAAAGGAATAACTCCTCCACGAAGTCCAAAACTATGTAAGTACCTGTAGTATGCTTATTTAAGTCCATTATAATTTTAAGAGTAGACCATTAATTAAGTTGCAAGACCCTCCTCCTCTTGACAAGCTGGAAGACTCTCTGGCTAAAGACAGACTGAATGAGTAATTAAAGTATCTTAAATAAATGGCACATTGCCAGTCAATGGGTTCATTGTAGAAGTACTAACCTTTTTACTTGCAATATCTCTAGGGGAGAGTCTTGTCACTAAATGGACATGGCGATAAATTGTGGACATTAGGGGGCAGAGCTTAACTGCTTAAGTATTATATATTCTGCCTTCATAAATGTCTTGGTTTCCATCAGTGGCTTATACCACTTTTTTAACCACTCAGGATTATTTATTGGATGGTTGAACCCCCATTCATAATTTCATAAGAATTTTTAGCTGGTCTGGGCAAACAGAAACGCTAGACATCCGAAAAATTTCAGTGTAATTTATTATGTTTTGCTCGATTGACCCATCTGACCTTTGTGCAAAAAATTATATACCCACTTTAACCTGTATCTGAAGTCTTCATGCCGACAATGTTTATAAACCAGACACAGTACTAAAATGCGGTGCCCTGCAAAAAAAATTTCTGGCGTTTCGCCTACAAGTAAACTTATATAAAATAATACGCTAGATGGGGCCCCTAGATTCCTCCTGTTGGCTAATACATGAAGTTTCTAGTGAGGGAAAAGTGAGCGCGCGAGGAGCCGAGGACCCACCATCGAATTTTTATCGAATTTCTAAAGCTTTTTCATGTGACGTCTAATGTTACGCTTACATTTGTTTTGGACTTTGGCCACTGTCAGTTATATATTTTTTATAAAGTTTTCGTTTCTTAGTGTGATAAATCTGTGTATATAGTCTATATAATGTGGTAAATGCACCTAGCAGGTATGACTTGACAGACTTGATATGAAATCAGATCTTAATTTACCTGTATGTCAATGAGACGCACATGTTTAATATCTGTCACCTCTGATTGCCCTTTAACCCCTGGTCTTTGCTACTTCAATATATATTGCTTCTTGTCCTTCTTTTCAGTTCCATTCACAGCTCACTAGTCGCTGCGAGTAATCACTGTTCTTGATATAATTTGTGCTCTTTACTGTGGTTCTATTTGCTTTTAATGCCCGCAGCAATCCCTACCTTGCAGGTACCCTAGTTTAATATTTAGCACGCTACATTCTTCTGTCGGCCGCTAGTTGGTCCGTACGTTAGGGTCGAAACTGCGTTTTAAAGCCTTCAAAATAAAATATTTTGGGCTCAAAATACTATCAAAATGAAGAGAAAAGTGAGACGAATCCACTGGCATACGGCCGAAAACGAGAAAATCCAACAATTCCGAAGTTATCAAGGATCAAACGGACTGCATTTTTAATTAGTTTAGTAATTTTGAGCGATTTGTAAACAATACAATTTCGCTTATTAAAACTGGACATTAAAAGCTTCAAAATATAATATTTTGTGCTCAAACTACTAACAAAATAAAGAGAAAAGTGAGACGAATCCACTGGTATTCGGCCGAAAAAGTGAAAACCAACAATACGAAAGTTATCAAGGTCAAATGTATTGCACTTTTAATTAGTTTAATAATTTTGAGCGATTTGTGAACAATACAATTTCGCTTGTCTTTCAAAGGCCATAAATCGCTAGAATACTGTAGTTTAGTAATACATTTGACATCTGTGAGTATAATTTCTTACACTGAATCGGTGGTATTTTTGTCCTTATTGGGCGCATAAAACCAGAGATAAGACGCAGCAAAAAGTCAATCGTGAGAGTTCGAGTTGTAATTCGAAAGAAAACTTTCCTCGAAAAAAGGAATTCGGAAAACGTGAAGGATTATTTTGAGCGGCTTTTCTCTTTCAAAGGCGACAAATACCTAGAATAGAAGTCAATTTTGAAATCAATTTTCCATCCGTAAACACAACTTTTCACGCTGATTCGAACAGTGGTATTTTTGTCCTTGTTTGACGCATAAAACCAAAGATAAAGCTGAGCAAACTGTCGATCATCATGAGTGTACACGATTAATAATAATTAATAAATTCCGAGCACGTGCAAGGAATTTTTGGTAGGCGATTAAGGAAACGTATTGATGCGAACAAACTAACAAACAAACAAACAAACAAACAAACAAACAAACAAACAAACAAACAAACAAACAAACAAACAAACAAACAAACAAACAAACAAACAAACAAACAAACAAACAAACAAACAAACAAACAAACAAACTAACAAACTCACAGGCAGAATATAATGCGGTGCCAAAAATGGCACGGGCACCGCAATATATAAAATTTTGTTGCCTAGAAACTATAAGGCATGTTTACAAAGCTCTTCTTTGGCAGAGGCATCTTTAAAGCATACAAAATGGAGGAATATTTTGAAGAAGGACGACCAACTTTGGTTTGTTTATGTTCATGCACCTTTTAGGCAAGTTTCAGTGCCCGGTGTAGAATTTCACGGTTAAAATACATCGAGATTGCACCAAAATTATGTTAAAATATCAAGCCACGTATTAATCACAGAGATTTCACATGAATGGTCCCTAGAAACACATATTGTATTGACAAGCCAAACTATATCCAACATTTTGCGTCCGTAGCTCAGAAGAGTAAGAAAATCGGAATTCGTCGTCGCTCGCTTGAGATATGTTGCCTATTGCGCTATATATTTTACTTTACGCTTGCTTTGAAGATAAATGTCGTGATACCGAATAAGATTTCTATATCATCATATTATAATGGGTCGTTCCAGAAAAGATCCAGACTCCCCCCACGGAGGAAATTTCTGCCGTCCGGAGGGGGAGGGGAGAAAAAATTGTTTCTGATAATAGTAAATGTATTAGGACATCCGAAGGGGGTAGGGGGGAGGGTTAACTTCCAATTTCCTCCGTGGGGGTGGAATGGATGTTTTGTGGAATGACCCAATTTTTGCTATATAAATCTCTAATATTATGGTGGCCATTTTGTTTACAAGTCCAAGCGGTTAATGCGCATGCATGTCCACAATTTCTCGCCATGATAAATATTTTCCCCAATTTCTCTTGCTGACCCATTGACTGGAATTATACATTCTCTACTTTGCTATTTTATTCTCATGCACGGTTTCAAGAATCCCCCCTTGACAGGTAAAATTATCTGCATGTCTTTCTATAGACAGAGTAAAAGAAAAAAATCTAGCACATTGCCAACCAATAAGTTAACAGAAATACAGAAATATCGATCTGCCAAACTCTCCTGCAAAGCCCCAGAAGGTCCAGATTAATTCACTTTTCCAGCGCTGTTAATATTAATAAACAAAATATTTGTATTGTTTGGCAGATGTAAAAATGGTACATATCAAGATTGAAGAAGATTTCCGCTATATTTCCAAGACCGAAGTCGTCAAAAAAATGATTGAACTAGTTCATGAATTGCAGGTAGGCCCCTAATGATCTATTTTAGTGTATCTACGCTAGCATGTGTATTCTTATACTTCAGAAACACCACAAAGTCAAAGATCCTTTCAGATAGATTGGTCTAAATAATTGTGTATAATGTTTCTTTTGTTTTTACTTTTTAGGACCATGAATGTCCAAATTCCGTTTGTCAGAAACAAATTGGCAATCTTCCTGTCATCCTGATTGATCAGGAAAGTATATATCTCATTGTTGGAAAACACGTTTTGCTGCGTGCCGATGTTGGTAAATAGCAGAAGCTGTTGTTGCCTTTTAGCCCTTAATGGATTTTGATTATCCCAAACAACACGAGCTAAGATCGGCAGTCCTACAATTTTTTGTTTTTAGGGACAACCGAATGCGAATCCCAAACAACATTAGTGCAATTTGCAGTACCATATTAAAGTCGTATTAAAAATATAAAGAAGGCTCTGCATGAGTAACTCAACGATTAAACTGTAGATCTGTAGGCACAAATTAGTTTCAGATTCCATATAATACATTCTTTAATCCTGTTTATTTTGATATTAGAATTCTGTAATTTAATTTTCTTGAATTGAGAAAGTAGGAGAATAGCAAGAAAAGTTTACATGGTGTAAGAAAATATTTCTTGAAAGATATTTTCTATTTCTTGAAAGATATTTTCTATTTCTTGAAAGATATTTTCTTGAAACAAGAAATTAAATTTCAAGAAATATTTTCTTATTGAGTAATCATTTTCTTACTGAGTAAATATTTCTCGCTATTCTCCCACTTTCTCAAAACAAGAAAATATTACTTGAATTAAGTAAATATTTCTTAAATCAAGTTTGTTTTTCTTAAAACAAGGTATCTACATTTCTTATTTTAAGAAATTCTTTCTCAGTATTTCTTGGTATGAGAATGAAATTTCTTGTTTCAAGAAAAAGGTTTGAATATATTTGTTCTTATTTACTTAAAACAAGAAAATTTATTTTCTTGGTTTAAGAAAATAATTTCTAGGTATGTTTTCTTGACTAGAAATTATTTCTCGCTATTCTCCCATGAAAATATTTCTTATTTCAAGATAAAAAATCTTGAAATAAGTTTTTTTTTCTTAAAATAAGAAAACGATTTTTTGCTGTGCAGTCTCTCTAATCGTTGTCTTTGAATTGGTCTCTCACTGCCACGGGGATTTTCCGTGCCGGTAGTACGACTGGTTTGTGATTTGGGCCTACTTCTAGATGGACTATTCCAGGCAATCTTCCCAAATCGTCGTTGAAAACTTCAGCATGCTTGTCTACCACTTCCATTTTCTTACAAAACATAGTGCTAATGAAGTTCTCTTTGTGAATCGTCAACAGCCTCATCTCCTCTGTGGTCTTCAAACCTAACAACGGAGTTAGGTCATCCTTTAGATCCACGATCAAGAACTTCACGTCATACTTCTTCTGATTTCTTAAATTAACCGCTCGAACGACGCACGTTCCCAAATATTTCACTTTAGAACCGTTCCACATGACTAGTGTTCTATCACATGGAGAAATCTTTTCCTTTTCCACATACTTGTATGGAAGTATGTTCGCGCTGGCGCCACAGTCGACTTGGAAATATACAGGAACGTCGTTGACCAACATCTTGGCAAATACAGCTTTCTCTTTCGTAGCTTGAATTCTCACGACGCTAATTTCTTCCTCCTCACTTTCTATGCAGTAAATGGCGGACATTCGACATCTCTTGGCAAAATGATTCTTTCTTTTGCACTTGTTGCAGGTTTTTCCCCAGGCTGGACACTTTCGCTAATCTGGCAAGTGCTCAAAGCCGCAAAATTTATACGCGGCACGTTACAATTATTATTCAAGATATTTATTCTCAACGCGCATATATTGCGATCGATTATTGCTGTGAAGATCTCGTTTTCTTAAAGATATGTTTCGATAACCTTTTTGTTTACTAATTTAATAAAAGAAAGTTGTGAATAATTTTGTATATATATCGCATTTTACTTATGTTAAATTCCCATTGTATTTATGCATGTTTTGGGTCAAATAAATGAACATGACATTCAAAGTGGCATTGAAATTTTCACGAGTAAATTGTACTTTTTTACAAGGAAACTAAAAGAAAATCACATGAGTGAATTCTGGAATGTTTACTCTTGATAACGATACTTTAAAACATGAATTTACTCCATAAAACCGAAGAATTATCGCGGTTTGAAAATGAGATATTTTTGCTATATACAAAATTATTCAAATCTTCTTTTATTAATAAATTGCTAAACAAAAAAAGTTGCCAAAACATACCTTTGAGAAAACGAGATCTTCACAGCAAAAATCGCAATATATTTCAACAGTTTTTAATCCAACGGCGCGTTGAGAATAAATATCTTGAATAACAATGAGACGCAATGATTTGCGCGTTGCATTTCGGGAAGACCCTTATTCCTCCTCTGACTACGAAGATAGAGGGTCTCTCGGGGATCAATTTGATACCAATATTGCCATGGTAACGCAAAATATTTTGCCGCTGACGAGCTTCTTATTCGAGGTTTTTGATAGCCTGCGTAGGAGGCGTTTATTGCGGGCAGGAGAAGAGAGGGCGTCGTTAAATAAACACCTGCTCAAATGCCTATCACAAATGTGTTTTTGACCGAAGAAACTTCGGAAAAGCTTCCCATCGGTCAATCTCGTTAACGGAAGCAATTGCGTAACTCAAATGTCAACAACAATTTTGCTCGGGTATCGAAAATATGTCTCCTGTTAATGCTTTCGAGGAAACTCTTTCTTATATTTCAAGTATTTAGGCTTCGAAATTCAGTTGAAACAAGAACAGAGAAAGTCCATAATTAATTTGCTACGTAATATAGCGAGATCGGGGGAATGAAACCCCTGTGACAGATCTACAAATCCTACAGAATAAAGCAGCACGTATAATCCTGGACCTGTCCTATAGATCGTCAGCCATGCAGTACTAGTACTGCTTTGAAGAAATTGAATTGGAAAGACCTAAAGACCAGAAGCATTATTAATGGTTTGTTATTTACTTATAAGTGTAAGAATAATCTTTTTCATATAACTTTGAAATCACATATCACCATGATATGGATGCTTATAACTGTAGGTCAAAGTGATCACGTAGAACAGCGGCGAAACATAAACTGGGGGCACTGGACAACGATAACTTTGCCAGCAATAACTGGAATGAATTGCCCCAAGAAACTCGTCAAGCAAAGACCTACAAACCTTTAAAATTCTACAGAAATAGCTAGTTATTTCTTAGTATAGTTTCTATATTGTATTACCAATATATTTAATCATCCTTGTAATTTTTCCATAATTTAGCAAGGCCCTACTGAAAAACACATATTGTGACGCAGTATCCTGAATAAAAATTGCTTTATTTATTACTATATGATAATACTACAGTGGTCTATTCGTAGTCTAAATACTACTGAATATATGTTGATGTTCTTTGGTTTATATGAGTTTACATAGTTAATATTACCAAGTAATATCCTGTCGAAACATAACACGTATATACTATGACTATAGTGGCGTATTGATTATACTACAATTCTGTCGTTTAATAAGTCTTTTTAGTTTGTCTACTATACACATCCAGAACTCCTCTCGATTCCTCTTGATAGTATGTATAATTTTTTTGTTTTACATTGAGTCTCAATAATTGTGCATGATTTTACATTATATAATAACTACAGTGAAACAAGCAATTTGATTGGTCAATAGCCGTGCAGGATCAGGCTATCCTGCACGACGAGAAATTAAAATGCCTTCGCAGGGCTCTTAAAATGTCATTATTTCACCTACCTCCTCCGCAGGCCCTTTTCCGGGCACATTTGCAGGCGGTGCTAATTTGCGGGCCACTTTTAGAAACGTAAAGTGAAAGACGAAAGGCCTGCCATATAACGTGTCGAAAATCGGGAATATGTGTCGAAAATCGGGAATCAAAAAATACCTTTGAAATTTCGTCCATCATTAGTGAAATTAATTTCTCACTTAAGCTGGGTTAATTCTGGACTTGCTGACAAAAAAATCAAATGGAAATACGGCAAATAAAGAAAGAAATCGATATACGGCCGGCGTCATATTTAGACGAAAATGTCGAAAATCGGGAATATGTGTCGAAAATCGGGAATCCAAAACAACCCCTTTGAAATTTCGTCCATCATTAGTTCAAATTAATTTCTCACGTAAGCTGAATTTATTTTGGACTTGCTGACACAAAAATCAAATGCAAATACGGCAATTAAAGAAAGAAATCGATATACGGCCGGCGACATATTTCGACGTGAATGCAAAAAATACAGAGAAATATTATTTAAGTTTAAAGTGCACCAAGATTTGCTGTTCAACCACATCCGACATGACGTCTTTTATCTTCTGATTTGTTTCGAATTACATTCTGAAGAAATTTGATCCACTGAAACTGTATTTTTGGTCGTATGTTGTGCTCGTCGTTCGACGGCAGCGATGGGGATATTCTCAATATCTAGTTTTCTGAAATGGAACTTGTATGTTGATTTTTGGGGTAATGGAGATTCAGAGATTCTACTGTTTTCTACATGCACACATTGTGTTATTATCACTCAAAAGACAAAGAACAAGCGAACAATGAGACGCTATATTACTTCCTATTTATACATAATTACATTGACTGTAAATGTCAAATTATATTTGCATATTAAAAATATAATACCATATTTATCTTTCAAATTGTGCTTTCAATGTTTCATGTAGACTGATATTTGAATCTTATGTAAAGTATTTGGAATGGCTTATCATAGGCTTAGTAGCAAAATATGTAGCCTGCGAGCAGGCTCTCTGGGTGAAAGAGAGCCTGCAAGGATCCCTATGATGTTCGTGTGCCGCCCCTTCAATTAGCATGTCACAAATCAATTAATAATGACCAATCAACGCAGACCGGAAATACGTTTTAACATTGTATCGCAGGCGTTGACAACAAAAACAACTTTGTCCTGGATATTTCTAGGATATTTCAACAATGTCGAATATAAACGAAACACCTAAAAATTTAGTTCCAACTGCAAAACATAAGAAACTAAATTCGAACGATTATTGTAGGTGTTGTAAATTATCCCTAAGAGTTCAGTATGGAGACTCTTGGAAGTCTGTATCCACTGAAAATGTCTTTAATGCATCTAAAAAAAAGGGATTCGAAGGGCAAATTTTAGCGCAGAATGTGGATGCGATTGGAATAAAGGTGGAGAGAAAATCCGATTTATCAGAAAGACTTTGTAAGCCTTGTGCTACTAAAATACGGAATGCATGTGCAGGGTTTTTGTTTCTTTTGCATAACATTAATACCATTAATCCAATATTCATGAGAGATCAAGAGGTCGAAACTACAGCCACAGGGGTTCATGATACTATAAATACGTCACGCACGAAAAGAACTCTGCCAACGACTGTTTCTACTCCAGAGCGAAGTCCTATATCAAAAAAGACACAAAAGACAGGAACGATCAGACTGAAGAGATCGCTTGGCAAGCAGTTTGATAACACTATAAACAAGGATCATAATGAAGATTCGCTTCTCAATATTGATGATATTATTTGTCATGACGACGAAGAGAAAGTACAAAAGCAGACCCGAGTAAAGGTGTTAATATTGTGGCCTAGTGGAAGAACCGATGTTAAAGTACCATCTAGCGATGAGAACGACACTATTCGGCTTGTGAAGAACATAGTTTTAAATAATTGGAAAGCAGTGTCCCACATTGTCCTCACGCACCGGGAATTAAAACCAGAAATCCTAAAAGCTGTGCGGTCCGCTACTAACAATGAGTTCAAACAGTACTGTAATTCTGACACTATTTTGAAGCGTCGTTCAACTGAAGAATTAATTGCGTTTTCGAACAGTACAATTATTAAGGAAATTACTGAAAGATGCCCCCTTTGGAGTTCGTGCGTAAGTGGAGCGTGTAGTGTTCAGCTGCAACAAATGCACGAGTATGACAATACGAATGCCATCAATTCTGTTGCTCTCGCCACTTCTGCGATAGCTCGAGTTCGTAACAAGTCTATGTCTGCTCTGACATACAGAGTGTCCAGCATTTTGTTTCACAGTGGAGTGTCTTATCAAGATATGACCAGATTGAACCGATTAGGTGTTGGCATGTCCCCAGATATGGTTATAAGTTTTCAGCGACAGTTAGGAAAAAACTTTGATTCCAAAGTGCTTTCTTACAAAAGCTCTCTTGAGGAGAAACCACATGATACCCTAGCTTTAATGATGGAAATCAAAGATAAACAGCCTGTAACGAATGATGATATTGTTGCTATTGATGTATGTGAAGAGAAACTTAGCAGGTATCAACATTTTACACCTGAATCTTTCACTCGTATAACTGATATGTTGCAATCAGAAAAAGAAAAGAAGAATGTGGACATTATCTCTAATGAAGTGCTGGACCAAGTGATAACTGATCACAAAAAGTTTAATTTTCCATTCTTTAAGTAAGTTTGCAATTTATCTGTTATGCATGATTTTGAGATTGATTGTTTCCTATTGAATATCATAAACCTAGACCAGTAAGACCCCCCCCCCAAATGATATTGCTGCAATCAGGCGTGTTTCCTTTTGCCCGTCCTCTGCCCCTTCCTTAAGTAGTATCCCTGTTACAAGATTGGTCCCTATGGAAAGTGGGGGTCCAGATGCTCCGAACCATAATTCCCAATGAATATAAGCCCCCCTCTCTTCTGTATCTGCCATTTAATTTGTTACAATATCATAGTGGAAAGTTTGAAAGTGCTTACTCTCCAATATGAACATCTGATATGTTTGGTTCAATTTTTTTTTTTATTCACACATTGATTTACATTTATTACTCCGGGTACTGTAAGTACCGGAGTATTAAAATGGCCAATCTTTTTTCTTAGGCGACGCAAGTGTGCACTTCCACAGGTGCACCGTACGTAACGCACGCAACGCACTACAAAAATACGAAATATCTAAAAATAGCCGCCATTCGTAGTAGATCGGAGCGAGCGTTGTGTTTACAATGTATTTAGTTCTATTTACAGTAAATATTATCAAATGGAGGGGTTCTCATACACTCGTTCTTATACAATGACCACAGTTCATATAAATACAAATCGAAATTCGAGACTTTCTCGCGTGTTTAGTAGCGGTTGCCGTTATTGGAAAGCTAATTCTGATCGACAACTGGATGGTTCGTTACTGACGTTAGCCCGGTATTTTTAAATTTTGTCAACACTGTACGTAGTTAAATTGTGTTAACACTCGTCACTCGTGTTCTTTAAGTCTCCCTAATTTGTGCCTCGTGGCCAAAATTGAAGTACAAACAACGCACAAATCTATTCGACATATGACATATCTGAAAGTCTTCGATTCGCGAGGCAATTTATATTAGGCCGTATTCCCTGACCGCTTTTTGTTCAGTTTTGTTGCCCCCCTTCGGGCACTACTTTAAATTCACATGAATCTATAGATTTTTATACGCTGAGTACGAATTCACTTGTTGTCACTCGCACAAACCTGCAGTTTGTTTGTATTTTACGATCAAACATCAACATTTTTTATTAAAATTTCCGCCATTTTGTTCAGGAAACTTCATGTTATATACAATTATTGTACTAGTTCAAGTCTCTTAGCAGGGGGGGTTGCACGCGGTATTACGCATTTTTATCATTCTTCTGAGGAAAATATACGGAAATAAATAAAAATATAGATATGTTTTCACAATATTAAAATGCAAAAGGTAATAATACATGTTTGTATATAATCAGGAACTAATCTACTATTCTTTATTGCACCAACTTTTGGGTTTTTTGCCTCACCTTGATGTGAAATTTCAAAGACTGTCACTACATCCACAAAGACTCACTTGACTTGTCCTTGGTAAAGTTGTTTATTTTATTTATTACTGAAATTATGTACATAATTTTAGCCTTACAATGTGAATAGGCAATTTTTCTTTCAAATTTTTGTTAACAATGAATAAGGAGCACAATATACTTGTTGTTTAATTAATGTTAGACCTTGTCACCTATTTGTTGTTTAGTATAAAATGTTAGACCTATAGTATAGTCACCTAGATAATTTATTAACACAAATAGTCCATTGCCTATTAGTAGCAGTTGACCTCAATCAAATTAGCTCATCCATTTAATAAATCTGCACATAACGAGTTCCATCACAGTTAATAGAATAGATGGTTTGGCTGAAACTCATTATTTATGTTAGTCAACGTTATTCATAAATCTGGTCCTTCATCCTCATGTGTATACTGTATTCTTGCCAAATCCACCTTGTATTCTTGCAATTTTCAATTTACCTTATTGTTCGAGTCACAGATAGGTAACTTTCCTAAGACATTGCTATTGGTTAGTTGGGTAAAAATACAGAGACCAGATTTATGAATAAACCAGTGGTGAAACTTTTTTTTTTGACCACTTGCTTTCAGGGCAATTTGCCAGGGGGTATAAATCAAGGGGGCAACATGTCGACTCATTCTCCCACTGCTCTATATGGCTATGTTATCCTTCCTTAGATCTAGCTTTGGCCCACAAAAAACAAAATTTGAATCAAGTACATGCACCATAAAAAAAATATCCGATAATGAAAGCCGAGCTTTTTGTGACAAGAGGCAACTTGCCCAATCGGGGGCAAGATAAAACATTTACTTGCCTGTCATGATATTCACTTGCCCCGGGCAAGTGTTAAGTTACACCTCTGTAAACATTGACTAACATAGATAATGAGTTATATTGTTACTCTGATGAGTTTCCAAACCATCTATTCTATTAACTATGGTACAGGTATGTTCCATTTTCTTGTATTATCATAAAATTTTTGCTATCATGACATTGAGCTTTATAAAAAAAACTTTTGGAAGATATCTTTCACTCTAAGACAGACTGAAAGCCTACTTTTGGTCTGTTTATATAGAGTTTTAACCCAGCAATATTTTTTAATCAATTTATTGTTATTAAAGTATTTACATTAGCAAATGGTGGCCATACAGAACATAGCCCCAATTGATTACAGCTATAATACAAGAAGCTTGCTTGGTGTTTCAATTTATATGACACTGTTGAGGCAAGCATATGCATGGGCTTGCTGGAACAAAGGTACTAAGCAAAAAATTATATTCACACAAGCAAATCTCAAAGTCATGCCACCTAAAGACATGAACTGGTCGAGCCATTTGAGGTTTAACAACATATTGTCATGATACATCATCACCTTAATAAGCTCTAATCCTATTTGAGCTGCCACTCATTACCAAGCACTTGGAGAAGGGATAATTTATTAATTTATATTTGGCCAGGCAGGCACTAGAAATTTAAAGTAACCTGGCATCACTATACCTACCTATATGCATTAGTTACATAAACCTTCTTTCCAGTTGGGCTAGTCTAGCTGCCTAGCCAAGACTCTTTTTTCCATGCCTTAGATCTTGGATAACAGCTGGGCATTAAATAATAATCTATTCATCATTTCCTTTATAGGGGGTACCCAAGCCAGCTCGCTTTGCCAAGATCTAACGTCGCTATGTAATTTAAACTAATATTCATCTTGCATTTATATGGAACTGGGCTGGCCTGTCTAGGCAAGATCTTGAGAAGTAAAAAGTATTATATTATACTATTTATAGCAGTGATACCAATGATCTGTTTTTGCGAGCCAGCCCGCCTCAATTAAAAGTCTCTTGTAAACATGGGATGAAATCAACTCGGATTACCTGGGCTGGTTCGCCTAGGAGATTAGAAAGTTTCAAAGTTAAAATTTATTTTGAAATCTCTCTGAGGGATAAAACCTTCAAAATTTTATTGTTGACAAAATTTTCAGGTAGAGAATACCCAGGAAAATTGCCTATTCATATTGCAAGGCTAACATTATGTACATAATTTCAATAATAAATAAAATAAACAACTTTACCAAGGACAAGTGAGTCTTTATGGATGACAAGAACAGTAGATTATTTCCTGATTATTTACAAACATGTATTATTACCTTTCGCACTTTAATATTGTGGAAACATATCTATATTTTTATTTATTTCTGTATATTTTCCTCAGAAGAATGACAAAAATGCGTAATACCGCGTGCAACCCCCCCTGCTAAGAGACTTGAACTAGTACAATAATTGTATATAACATGAAGTTTCCTGAACAAAATGGCGGAAGTTTTAATAAAAAATGTTGATGTTTGATCGTAAAATACAAAAAAACTGCAGGTTTGTGCGAGTGACAACAAGTGAATTCGAACTCAGCGTATAAAAATCTATAGATTCATGTAAATTTAAAGTAGTGCCCGAAGGGGGGCAACAAAAATCGTTTTCTAAGCGACTTTTGGGGCCAGGGAATACGGCCTATATCGCAAACCACAACAATATTGGCAATATTGTCTACCACGCTTGAATTAGACAAAAGCGCGTATAAAATATATATAACTATAGATAGCTTTACCCAACACTATCACTTCTATTACACAGTTTAATGTTTTATTTATAGAGTACTAAAACTCGGTCTCGACAGCTGCATTGTCTTGGTCTTAAAGTAAAATCATTACTAGAACAATCTAAACGTTTGATAATAACGAACTTACAGAAGCCTTACAAATTAAAACAATCAATCTGTATAAACAAAATATCAACATAACTTGGTGCCAGTTATAAACTTACTACCATGCATTGAAAAAGTGTTGACAATTAACTATATGACACGACTAACAATATATTACTTTTTAAATAATTTTCTTTGCGTGTTTGATAAATGTGGTTTGTTTACGTTAGCTATTTTTAGTAATTCAGTTTCAGGAGTTCTTCTCGAGGGTCGAGGGTGGGAAGCGAGGGTCGAAAAATCATATATAAAAAAGTCGAGGGTCATATATAAAAAGTCCGGGGTCGTATTTCTAAAATATTTTATGGTTTTTATTGTCGAGGGTAGAAATTTGCGGGCATTGCCAATAGGTAAATTTGCAAGTGGGGCAAGCACAATAGCGAAAACAATACTTTGAAGATGGCGTCGCGAACACGGAAAAGGCGTATGGCAATGGAAAGGTGTAAACAAGTCCTGATTACTTTGATTCAATAGACCATATAGACTGATACAATAATTTGCGACATGCAATCCGAGATAACGCAGATATTAATGCACCACGCCGTTTGAAAATATCTCGACTGTCGCTTTTGATCGGCATGTCTATTTTTATGTAGTAATATTTCGTCATATAAAAAGTAATCGCATATAAAAAATTAATAATTGCATATAAAAATAAGAGCTAAAAATTAAAAGTAAAGTAAGTGAACACGAACTTAAATTATTATTTTGTTAAATTATTAAAATGTACCCTCAAGCTTTTCACCCTCGAATTTCTACCCTCGACAATAAAAAAAACCATAAAATATTTGTAAAATACGGCCTCCGACTTATTATATACGACTTGAAAAAACACTCCTACGCATGTTTTAAATAGAACTTTTAATAAAGAACTAGATAGCTTTTATTAGAGATAATTAGTGTCACAATATCCTTTTATTTTTATGTTATAAAATATTATGATCATTGCATATGTTTTTAGTCACCTGGTCAAGTGGTGTAGTTCTCCCACTTTTCCAACTTTAATATGCTAAATATCATGCATTAAAGATACCTTCATTGCCGTATAGAAGCATACGTTAAAGTAGCTTTGCGCTTAGTTAAGGCCCTGTACCCGGAGTGAACGCCTGAGTAGGCGTCTTGTTGTTAATAGATTAGTTGGTGATAACATTGTCCACGAAATTAATGCTCGGATTCAAACAAAGGAACATGGAAACCAATCAATCCACTGGACTCACCAGACTGTAATAAGAGATAGTGTTGTTGACCCTTGTCTGGACAATACAAAGCCTCGACAAAGTCTTGATCAGCTCCAGCTACTAGATATTTTGCCAACTGCTACCATTCAGTCTCGACTAAAACATTCATGGGCAATTCTTGTTAGCCGTGTAGTAACCAAGCACCTCAAAGATTTTGCGTTCCTGAGAAATGTTGTAATTAACCACATACCTCATCAATACTCTAAAGAGGCTTCAACAAAGTCAGAAATTGTGAGTTTTAATTAATAAATGCATAAGGGAAAGGAACTGATATGTATGTGCAGAAGTTTGTATTTTTTCAGTGCTGACAAGGGTAGTCATTTAATAGTATAAAGTGTGCAAATTATGAGAGATCACATGATCACATACAGTCAGACTGCAAGGTGTAATATTTCCAATGCACCCAAGGCTTATATGCTTGGGCAAGCACTTGTGTTAGGGATAAAATTTTGTGCTTTCATGTGTTCTTACAAATATATATTTCTCTTAAATATTATAGTGTTGTCTTGGGATGGAATTTTATAATCCAAACATTGCAGGAGAGATGGCACAACTGTTAATAAAAAATCAAAACAAGTATGTTCCCTCTTGTGGAAAGGGCGAGTCAAAAAAAGTTATCACACCCATTCCTTTCCATGGAGACCAATTATTTGAAGAGCGAGCCAGGAATGTTATATGGACATTTCAGGATGGTGACAATGAATTTGACAGTATCAAGGGGCTTAATCCCGAGTTTGCTGACTGGCATGGAAAAGTAAACTTGTACGAGGTTTGTTTTTTTTTAATTATTTTGTCTTTCCTGCATAAATCTATTCAAATCTTTAAAATGTATTTATCCACTAACACTTTCCCCTTGATGAGAAATTTGTTTGGCATTAGAGTAAAGTACTGTGATTCGGTATGGGGCATTGCAGCGTCTACTTAAATATTTGATAAGCATTATAAGTTTTAACTCATTAAGTGGCAATGCGTCTGAATGTACCCTGAGATTGGCAAGGGGGGCAATGCACTGCATGCACCCTGATTAAACAACATGTTGATTACATTAATTGCTAATTTACTACTAATTGCAGATGGAATTTAACATGTTTTGCAAATCTGATTCTGGGAATGAGCTTGGCACAACGAAGGCAAGCATGAATAGAACTCGAAAAACAAATGCATCAGCTGGACCAGGGAAGAAATACAATGAATACAAAGAGTTCCATCAGTGTGAGTTAGAGGCTCATATTTGTTCTGCCTTTATGGAAATGACTGGGATGGAAGATACAAATGGTAAATAAAATAATGCTATAAAGACACTAATACATGTAGTGTGATTAACCCATTGAGTGGCAGCACTCTTCCCTTGTCTTTGATGAGAAAAATCGTCTGGCATTAGACAGTAAAAAAATAAAGTAGGGAGCATGAAGGGACATGGCCACTTAAAGGGTTACAGTAATAATTAGTCTGATAATGAGCAATGGTCTTTCATTGACAAGTAAAACCTCTCTCCTACAGTAAACAGTAAGCGGTGTTAGACTAAATAAAAGAATAATGTACTGTATGGCACATTACTGCTTATATAATTATATTATAATTACCCAAATTTATAAGTATGATTATCAAACCGTATCAAGATATGTTGAAAACATTTTTAGTACAATGTTTTATTTTCACCATGATTTTATTTTAAGGGACTCCTAAGACTATAAATTTACCAAGTAACTTAACCAACAAGCAAACAAAAGGAGAGTGGTTGCTCAGTCTGTGTGAATCCTTCATAGACAGATATTGTTTTGACTCTGAAGATCTTGATAACTTGATACAGCAGACAAACCAGTTGGAACTTGCATCTCTTGGGAAATACAAATGCAGAGTTGAAAAATGTGATAAAGCCTTTGTTTATCACTCAGGAAGAGTAAGGTGACTGATATGTAAAGTGGAAGTCAAGTCCATATGTAAACAAACGGTTTGTTTACATTTTGAACTGATGTATTTTTTAAAATATGATGTGCTGTCTGAATATCTAACACCATTTTGGTTCGCTATGCTTCTAAATGAATATGAAATAGAGTTTATGTTCATAAAAAATCGAAACATTCGAAATTAGGGCAATGTTCACATTTAATAGAGGCCCTCACATTGTTATGAACAGAACCGATGCGCAGAACGGACTTGACTTCCACTTTAAGAAGTAGAAAACATCCTATACTAATTAGGTACTACTCCAATTGAAACCATATCAGACAAGTAGAGAAGCTCTACTTGTCCCGGCTGAGATTCTATATGTTATAGATTCGATACAAAACTACTGTAAGTCAGTTGACGTATTTCCAGTTATTTCCAGCCAATATCGTAGCCATGCTTTGACTGATGTGCATTTGATATGCCTTTGATCCACTCTCAGCCATATTAATCTGTATCTTTTATACATTACTTAAGTCATCTGCAATTGCAAGTAAATAATAAATATTACTAATAATACTATCCATGATAATGAATGAAAACAAACAATTTTTAAAATATTTATGTCAATTTTAGTCATGAGATCAGTGCACATCAAATGAACAATGATCGAAATGGACAGATTAGGGATGAGTATGGATACTATTTTTGCCGTGCTGATTGTGGCCATGTCTTTAGTACTAAAGCGACAAGGAACAGGTAATTTTGCAAAAAAATATATACATATCCCACATTATGTTATTGGGCCATTACAGAAAACATCCATACATGTCTCTCCCACAGAGGAAATTTGAGATTAACCCCCTTACAATGTCTAATTGATTTGACTAGGCTTTGCATTCATTTAATTAAACCGGAGTAGCGATTGAAAATATGACATTTACTATTATTATATATGAATTTTCTCCCCTCCCTCCATGGGGGGAGTGTGGATCTTTTCTGAACCGACCCATTGCAACGACACCCACATGTAGTTGGCAATTAAGGCAATTCATGAGGATGTCAATATTTTGTTTTTCTGATAGAATGTGACTGGATATGTGTATGATGTTATAAATGACTAAACCATAATTTTGCTATTTTAGGCATGAGAAAAAAAATCATCTACAATTTACTCCTGAAGAAGACACTTCTGTCAATGATACTCCAGACCCCATTATCAATGACCACCTGTACAACTACCACTGTGCAAAGCTTAAGTTTGGTATGATTCTATTTGATTTCAATGATGATGTACAAGAGGGTGATGGCCAAAGACTGCATGATATTTACAAGTTGGCATTGCTACTGTACAAATCTGGGGGTCATACTAAATATTCATATGTTGTGCTTCTTTACCTTGTTAAAATTGCAGCTATCTATTCTGAATTTGAAGCTCATAACCTCATGTGGAACAGATTCTATAACAAATATGGTCGTCTAGGTGGAAATATCTCATTAGACCTAAAAAAGGAACAACAGAACAAAGTTCTGAAAACCATCTGGAGGGCACTGGGGTCAAATTTAAATAAAGCAAGCGCATCACGGGTAGCTGAAGCACTAGAGAATCTAGAGAGACTAATTGAGTCTATTGACAAAGAATGTAATTTACAAGAGCGTAAAGGATATAGATCCAGTGGCAATAATACAGAATCAGTGATGCAAATCACATCTGCTTTGTTATCAATCAAAGCGTTCAAATTCACCCCGGGTAGACATGGCCATGCATCATTTCCTGACTTTGAAAACAAGATTGTAAATTTAGATTACAGAAATCTACATGAATGGATGTCTGAGAAAAAGAAACTATGGCAATCTATATATTCAAGAAAGAGTAAATGACAAAAATTTATATAGTTTACAAAAGTTCATAATATAACATTTGTAAATTCTGAACGCTGATTGGCTAAGAGCTGTGTTGATATAACTCAATATCAACACATAAAATTTCTTTCATTACATTTCTTTGTGCTATATTATAAAAAAATATAAAACATTTTTCCGTAATGGTATACAGTTATATCAGCACTCATGGAAATTGGGAAAATTCAAAATTGTGTGAAAACACTCCACCCTTCAGGTGTTGTGTTTCCAAACAATTCTTGTTTTCCCAATTCCCACTTTCTCAATTCCCACTTTCTCAATTTGCAGTAGTCAGAGCAAGCGCCTTTCACCTCTTGAGATTGTGGGTTTGATTCTCGCTACGGACTCATGTGAAAAGAGTCAGTCAACGCTCTGGCGAAAGTTGTGGGTTTTCTCAGCTGGGCGTCCCCCCTCTCTCCTCTGCAGAGGCTTACACGAAGTTTCCAGTGAGGGAAAAGTGAGCGTGCAAGGAGTGATGGGAAGAGCTAAATACCATCACCGCGCACGCTCACTTTTATTCAGGAAACTTCATGTAAGTTATTTGTAAATACTTAAGGAGGCTCTGCAGAGGAGAGAGGGGCGCTCCGGTTTCCTCCCACAGGGAAAGTTGACAGCCGAGGGTGGGTTAGGATAAACACAGTTAGGAAAGTTATATCTCAATTGTTGTAAAGATAAATACTCATGCTATAGTAAGTATCGGTAACATGAGCGTCATACATTACTTGATGGAATCGGTCCAATGGAAAGCCCCAATGGGAAGTGAGCTGAATAATAATGTAATGTAATGAATTATGTCAACATGGAAAATGTTTTATATTGGTTAAATATAATACAATACCTGTACTTACTCATGACATTTATTCAAAGTCACATTCAGTTTCCATTTGGTCATCTGAGTCAATATCATCAAATGTGTATTCTACAGGCTGGGGTATGTCATATAAAGTTGGTTCATTTCTGCCAAACATTTCAACCATTATATCAAGGTTTGGTATATCTTCAAATATATCATGGAATATTTCTAGGATTTTGATAGCATGTTGAAAAGCAAATACTGGCAAGTATTTTATAACATCCACTATGGTAAATATAGTGTGGGCATTATCCACAATGTCAACTATTAATTCATCAACATAACCATCTGACATGTTCTCATTCAATAACCTCATTGTTGGAAGGATTACCTGAACCATTTCATGTAGTCCGTCATGTAGGTCCTCTTTATCAGATGAAAAGATTGGTCGGGAAAGATGTGTAGTTGGTGGCAAAACATCATCATTTTTTTCCACTTCAAACACAGGTACCATTTCTGAACACTCATTTTCCCCATCTGAGCATTTGCATGTTTTTGCACAATTCCTACAACATGCATGAGCAGGTTTGACTGGTGTAATATTTCTGTCAAAAGGCTTATAAGCTTCAATTCTGTAACAGCTGGTTGTACGCAGAAATGCTTTGACATTCTCCTCACAGAAACTTATCTGTTGTCCATAATAAATGGTCAGCACTTGGGTGGGTTTGTTGCCTCTCCCGACCCGACCAGACTGTTGATGATAGTCCAACATGTTACGTGATGGTCCCCAATGAATAACGTATCGCACGTCTGGGAAATTTACTCCCATGCTAAGTGCTGAACTTGCAATAATAATTCTCTTTTTTCCATTGCCCTTAAAAGAGTTTGTGATCCTGTCTTTATACTTTTGCAAAGTCAAGGAATGATGAATTCCTACAAGACAGTTTGCAATTGGTGAAGTTTGGCTGTCTTGTGGGAAATATGCATAACTTCCCAACTGTAGTAACATATGGTTGAACACAGCAGCAATATCAGTCAGCGAACCATTACAAAATATAATAGATTTTGGTGTAGCAGTTCCTTGTTCCTTCACCAACCTGATTAGCCATTCCAAGTTTGTAAACATTTCCTGCTTTTTGCATTTGATCACAGAAATTCTAAGGTTTGGACGATTTGGGCTCACATAAAACCGTTTGGTCTGTTTTAGGCTCAGTCCTTTGATTATCACCTTTTGTGTTTCATCATCTGCAGTGCCTGTTATTGCAAGTACATGTGTTCCTGAAAAAAGTAAATTATATTGGGAAACTAATACATACGAGATATTGGAGGCCAAAAATACAAGAGGCAGTCAAGGGAACAAGTGACCAAATAGGTATTGAAAACAATGACATTTAGAGAGTTTGGGCCAGTTGAAAATTGAACTGATGAAAAATACAAAGAATTTGCAGGGGTTCTCAAACTCTTCCCTGAAAATCTTGGGGTTTTGCTAGTCCAATGCTCTACCAACCGAGCTACGAGGTTGGTCATTGACCAAAGGTTGTGGGTTCAATTCCCACCGCAGTCAAGCAAACATTTCAGCTTGCCCGGTGTTGACACACTCCTAGTATAAACATCATGTATATTTTATACACAGTATAATATATACAATGTAATATATCGGATCTCACCTTGCTTACAAAACGACCGTAAGGTAGACAACTTCCCAAATGCTTCACGAAAGCCACCACCGGAGGTGCTGAGATTTTTTCCTCTTGACCTATAAATACATAAAATCACAAATATAATAACACAAATCTATAATTATTTACATTAATACATAACATAAGCAAAGGTTGTCAATTTTTTATTTTTTTAGGTATTAATTAAACTGATTATATTACGTATCATAATACGAGAACGACACCTTTGTCCTGTCCACATTTCCACCGTGTGAGATTCGTCAATGACAATTACAGACAAAACGCGGTTTAACGATGCGTCGGGGTCCTTTAAAATATCCAGGAATCGTTTATCCAAAACTGTCTCAGCTGAACCAAATAAAAGTTCGAATTCACTTGCTTTTAACTCGTCTTCGGACAGATCAGCTAGCGATGCAACGGAAATACCAAAACCTCTTGCCTCGCCAATTTGATCGTCAATGATGCTTCGTAAAGGGCAAACAACTAAAGCAGTTCTTTTGATCCTTTCAATTTGGGCAACCAAAATATACAACTGAAATATCAGACTCTTGCCGTATCCCGTTGGTAAAACAGCAAGAACATCATTCCCGTTAAGCAGTGACTCCAATGCATTGCGTTGCTCGGTTTTTAATTTGAACGGGAAGTTTAGTTTCTCTGACAATTTCCTACAAGCTTCTTCGATCAATTCATTTGAATTTCTACTTTCCGCCATCTTGGTTTACTATATATTTGATTGATATATCAATTACGTAATTTTCATGATCAACCAATCAGAGCTCTGCGTCCAAATATTGGACGCATATTGGACGCATGCACACGAACATCAAAGGGATCCTTGCAGGCTCTCTTTCACCCAGAGAGCCTGCTCGCAGGCTACAAAATATGTAGAAAGCAGATATAATATTATAAAACAGTCTCCATCGTTATAGAAAAGCGGCGGCAGGCTAGTTATAAGTACTTTTTAGTCTGCCAAGACCACTGGATGCTATCTCTAAATATTATTTAAATCTATTAGATCAGTGCTGGTATGTATATTGTATATTAAGTCATAATAGTAATTAGTAAAGCCAAAATGAAAATTTCGATTTCTAGCACTCGCCATCTTAACCCGCATTTTCCGAACCTGCCCGAAATGCTATCTAAGCGCCTGTGGAGGAGGCAGCTATTTCACTGCAGTTATTTTGTAAGACAATTACCAAATGGTTTTCCAAGCAGGATAGCGTTTTTCAAGCACTTGGCATGTTGCTCGACTTTTGGAAAGCGTAAAAATACACCTGCGGCTCGAGTAATTTTACGCTTTCCGAAAGTCTCGCGACGTCCCTCGTGCATAAATCACGCGATCCTGCACGGAAAACCATTCGGTATTTCTTTAATGTGAGATTGACAATGAAAGAAAAAAGAAATTGAAGCACTGTGAAAAAATAAAAGTATCTATAACACTGTGGTGTGATCATAAAAATTAGAGTTATCTTCTGAGATGTTTCCACTTCGTGTATCTGCCGCCATGTTAACCATTGCATTCTCTGCAGTTTCCACGTTTTCTAAAGGTTCTTCATAGTAAGGTAGAAATGGAACAAATTTAGAAAATTTCCTTTTTTTTCCAACACCGAACGGTAGGTCATAAACATGAACAGAAGCAACATTCTTTACAGCTTGACCAGTGGCAAGATTACGCCATTTCTTAATTCCTCTTTCTTCTTGTGTTCCGGGAATGAGGTTGTCAAGGAGGCAAGCAATTATTCCACCAACAGCCATACTGGTCTTCAACAGCACAGTGAATATTTGGTCTAATATTTGGTCTAATCAACACCTATATAAAAACACATTGAAAGTAAATAATAACATATAAGTGATATTCTTTTGCTTTTTCTTTATTCGAAGCATCTATTAAGCGAACTTGGCAAACTAAGACAGACTTCGTTGAGTCCCTTTAGGATTTTCTTTCATTAATCAGTTCAGAAAACTTGATTATTTTAAAATTCCTAAGATCTTAGGCTCAGTATTAGATAGATTACCAATGTCGATGACTCGTTCATTCTTTCCAAGATAATCAGGAATGACCAATCCCATTATGATAGCAAAACCAATAATAAAGAGATTTCGAACAGAATTAAGATTAACAAATTGCAAGTTAGAGATTCCCACTGCTGTTATTAAACCAAACATACAGCAGAAGACTCCACCAATCACAGGATCAGGAATGGTAGAAAATAATGCGCCAAATTTTCCATTTAACGCTAAGATTATCATAAGTAATGCCCCAAATTGGACGACACGCCTGCTTCCAACCTACAAGTATACAGTTATGTAATTATATAAAAAATTATTTCTGCCCAAATATTAAAGAGTAAGGAGAAATTGCTTACGAAAGTTGAAGTTTTTTTCAAATTTGGGCGCCATTTCTTTTTCGTGCAGACGCAGATTTGTACAGCCCATTGAAATGAATATAACTGGAATGGTACGCTACCTCCAACCCGAAACTTGAAGCCAAACGCGAAGGAGCGTGTCAATCATGAAATAAATATGCGTGTCTGGAGGTCATATGTGGTTTCAAGAAAAAGATTGCAATTGGCAGTTTATCTGAAGGTAACGTTCCAGTTATATTCATTTCAGTGGTACAGCCTCGTTTTGATGTCTTTGCGTGCTTCTGAGCTGTGTTTGATGGTGGGAACTATAGTATTTGTTTGGCGTTTATACATGTGAATGTGGACTATTAAATCCAACCCATCCTAATTCTTCGATATAAGGTTGGAGCTGGGAGTACTATCATAGAGTCCCTGCACTATATATTCAATTTATCAATAAACACTGGTATATTCCCAGATGACTGGAAAATTGCTAGAGCTACGCCAATTTATAAATCTGATGATAAAGCAGGATGTGGTAATTACAGACCCATTTCTGTTATATCAAATGTAGCTAAAATACTTGAAAAACTGATTTATAATCAGCTGCTTGCTTTTCTGAATGAAAACGGAGTAGGCTACTTGCCGAGAACCAGTCTGGCTTTCGTTCCAATCACTCAACTGAAACTACGCTACTACATTCAACAAACAATTAGCTAGCCAACATGGATAAAGGTTTGATTAATGGGTTAGTATTTCTAGATCTTAAAAAGGCATTTGACACAGTCGATCATAGCATATTTTTATCTAAACTTGAACGTTGTGGGGTCCGAAGTACGGCTCTGCAATGGTTTCAATCATATTTATATGAAAGAAAGCAAATTTGCAGAATTAATAATACTGTGTCAGGTGAAACAAAAATACGCTTTGGTGTTCCGCAAGGCTCGAACCTGGGTCCTTTATTATTTCTGATATATATCAACGACCTTCCGAATTGTTTACAGACAACTACGGCTTCTATATTTGCAGATGACACAAATCTACTTGCACAGGGCAAACATCTGCAGACATAGAGTATAAAATAAACAAAGACCTAGACAATATGCATAGGTGGATAATAAGTAACAAATTAACTTTAAATATTGGAAAAACTGAGTACATGTTATCGGATCGAAACCTAGGTTAGACGCAATCCCCGAAACCCCCAAAATAATATATGGCGACTATCAGCTGAAGAGAATCAAGAAAAAAAAGTCTGCCTAAGCCTAAAACAGATTTCCTAAAAAAAAGTTTCGTTTATCGTGGAGCAGCTTCCTGGAACAAGCTACCCTCTGATATGATACGAGCGGTAGACGAGTGCCAATCAGTAAATTCATTTTTGAAAATTCTTAAACATTATTTTAATTGACCGTAAATTTGCGTCTGGGCGCGCGCCGCGGACGGCTTTGCGAGTTTTGCTCGCGAGGGTGTTTGCGGTTTACGCTTGGCCGCCGATTGTAGTATTATTTGTTATGTAGTTGTAAATATTTATTATATAATATTTTTGTGTAATACACCGTCCTTTGAAATCACTAATTGTGAAAGGCTACCGTGTTTAAATGTTCTTAAATAATAATAATTATTATTATTATTGTCCCGAGCCAACGACGCGCAGCGCCGTTCCGGGCGTAAGCCCGGAGCGAGGGTACTAATTCCGTCCGGCTATTTACACCCGGGTGTTTGAGAACATAGCCAAGTGCAAAGTTGTCCTCCATTATGTGATGGACGGTCTTCGACGTTATGCGCATGCGCGAGTACAAGCTCGCAGTTTCGCACTAAGAAAATTGTTTTTCATTTTGCAAAGATGTATTTTGCTGTTTTACAGTGTATCTTTGCGATGTATTCCGCTTTTAACTTGAGACAAGCCTGCAGTTTCATAAATTAGTGGCTGTCAACCGTGAAACAGAGTGTGACATGCATAAACACGTGCAAGGCTTGCATAAACACGAATTTTGTCGATGACGAATCTGGGGCCGGTTGTTAAAAAGCTGGTTAACTTTAACCCAGGGTTAGCGCTAACCCTGGGTTAAAATCCCCAAGGGCCAGTTGTTCAAAAGCCGGTTAACGCTAACCTAGAGTTAAATTTGCTTAACCTAGGATTAAATTTTAACCCTAGGTTACTTTGCGTTGTTCAAAGCTAGATTATCCTTAACCCTCGGTTAAAACAAGGGTTAAATTTAACCCTCCTCGCTAGGTGGGTTTACTTGCTAATCGGCCGGTTTACTCCTATTCAAAATGGACGTCGAAGGAGTGAAAAAAGAAAACATGTAAAACTCTTGGTGAAATTACAAACAGTGTACAAAGATTTTATAGAGGAAAATCAACCTTAAAAAGTAAGTTCTAAGTCTATAAATACTATTAAGATTCTCATTCGCCCAGTACGAGCCTTTGAAATGATTTTATATTTACAAGTTGGCTTTGAATTTATATAAGAGCATTAAAGTGAAAGATACGGCAACTTTCTTCCCATTTTGGGGTGCTGTGGTCTAAGCATGGACATCATAACTTACTGTTTTATTATGTTACTGTGAAAAAGTACCTTAATTTACAAAACGCCAAAAGAAACAGCTACGTCTGCCGGTTTTCAAAATATAGTTTGGTACACACAGTGCTGTAATCAAGATTGTGTACACTGTACAGTATAAAAAGGATTTACCTCTCGAGATCTTTGTCGATTGCCGCCACCAAAACTGTAGACTGTAGTTTTATTAAAGCCGAGCATTCAACTCAAGTTTCTTCGAAAAATAACTCTAGAAAAAATACTTGTATTACCAAACAATTCGCCGTACCAGCACCTGTTTCACAAAGTTTCCATTTGCCATTTGTTGAATACTACAGTCATTTTTATTACTAATTGTGCGAATATTCCATTATTCTTTTATGACTATCAATCTTCTTCGTCAATTTCAAACAATTCGTCCAAATCATCTGATCATCTGATCTACAGCACTTTCTCCGAGCAGATTAGATTCTACGACAATATCACGAAGCCCAGCATCGCCGAAACGTTTTCCAATTACTGCAATAAAAATGCACATTGTGTGAAAGGCTCCGAGACGCAGGACGATAAATTCTTTGAGATCAAAGTGACTGGGATTCATGAAAATGTCCACAGCTTTGGAGTAAATTGCCGTATCAAGGACAACATCTGTTTCGACTAGACCGAGCTTTTCTGCTTTAATTTTGGATTGAGTGGCAACTCCAGAGCTGTGTCGTAAGAAGATGGAGATTGGTTGATGGCCGGAAGGTATTCAATGTTATGATGACTGTCGCTGTCACTATATGTTATCGTGCAATTAAAGCCTGTCCAGTTTGGGATCTTCTGCTTGGCATTATCGGCGGTTGCTTGGGATTTTGCAATTACCCACAAGGTACATATCCGTTTTGTGCGAACACCGCTCTTCTTCTTCATATAGGTTACGCCTAATATTCTTGTGGCTCTCGGAGCTCTGTCGTTTGATTTGGATGTAGGCCGGGATTTTAACATGCAATGGGGGGAACTTCTTCGATCTTGGTTTACTTGGGTCATCTTGCGATTGATCTGTCGATGTTGCTGTGCTGGATGTTTTTGTTTCTCTCATGGGAACATTGGATGACTGGATGATAATTTCATTTGTACAGTGCATACGGATGCCTCTCAAACTTTCAGGGTTTATATCGTTGTTGTCCCATACAAATTTCACAAAATGACCTGGTTGGATAGTGGCAGGTATAAATGTCCTGAGTAGTTGCTCTTTGCTATGTTCCCTTGCCAGATGTGTCTCCAGGATTATGACATCATCGTACGATATCCCATGACCAAATTTGCTGATCCAGTTAATCACCATCTTGGAACCAGTTTTTCTCTTAACTGAAAAGGGAAAGGTAACATGTTTCTTCCTTCTTCCATTGTTCGCATGGTAGATAAGGTCTTGGCCAATAGACGATACCAGTCGTTTTTGTTTCTCAGTTGCTATCGATTTCCCGAAATAATACTCTCCAGTAAACATTTTGTTAAAGGTGTGATATGATGCTGGTCGTTTTTTCCAAAACCTCTGCTTCTGAGGGCGGCCAACTATAAATAGAAGTAATCTTCCCGTAAACGTAGGATAAATGCTTGAAAAAGTAAGTATCAAGCAAATACATCGGCGCTTCTCTTATTAACGGTATAGGAATGGAAAATACATTGGAGAAATGTCAGACCTATAGCTAATCGTTTACCAGTGGCGTCGTGTCAGGGGGATGGGGGGGGGGGCAAGGGGCATGGTCTCTCCAAATTGAAACGTGTCGGATCTACTCGTAAGAGAGAACATTTTTTGCCGTCAAGCACCGCCCGCATTATTTTATAAAATAATTTTTGTATCTGCCGGGCTAATATTGACCTTGTCTCCCCCCCCCCCCCACACCCAATTTTCACCAAAGTGTAGTTTAAACCTAGTACGGAACGAGGCAACTACGTAGAATATACAGAAAAAACCTTCGATCTTTTGACCAAAGACTCTTACAATAAACAAATGGAAAATATTGTTATTCACGGCTGTTTCTTTGAAAACGAGTTGGAATATTAACTGCCTATAAAGTAAATATAAGTACATTCTAATCATTAAATCAATGACACACAAAAATGGATGTCCGTTTGTGTGTTTTTGAAGAAACATAAAGATACCCAACCTGCTGAAGGTGTCTGGAGTTTCTGTCAACTCGTTGTGGATCTCCTGAGCTACTTCTTTGTTTTTTTCCTCCATGTTTTTCTCCCTATAATTTGCTAGTTTTGCCTTCACTGCTACTTCAACCAGTTGCCCTTTTTCAATGGTGTTATTGTAAACGAGATCGCTTCTACAACTTGGGCGCCAAAAGCCAACTTTTGAACCGAATGATCTTTTAAGTTTGTCTTTTAAACTCTGCATCTTAAGCGGCGGTGTAGTCTGTTCTCCAGATTGACACTGGGATTGTATATCCGTATACTTCTGCAACAATTCAGACATGGATAGCACATTACAGTCGGTGAGCAATTTTTCTGTAACGAACTTCGAAAGCTGTTGGAAAATTTCATCTTCCTTGTCGCACTGTTTGATATACGCTTTTCTGGTTTAATCGCGATAACAAGTCCGATGGTAAAAATATTCTTTTGCAAGTATGGTCTGCCAGTCAGCTCCAGCAACTTCAGCATACAAACGTGTGTTCTGTGACTGTGTAACAGATGGCGATATCACAGCATTTACCAAATTCCGCGCACAGTTCTCAGTTTCGCAACTTTGCAGATGCTCATAACCAATTCCACTCGTTGCTGTTTTTTTCTTCCCACAAATGCAGCACTCATAGTCAGCCAGTAATTTTCCTGAATTGCAAAGACGTATTTGGAATCATAATGAAATGCACGGAAATTAAAAAACCAACACAATATTTAATAATATCACTAAAACATTTATTGAACAAACCTGCCCGATTGGACTTTCGACCCGATGACCGACATGCCTCAGTTTCTTGGGGGAACCCGCATTGTTTTAATTCATTGACTTTGACTTTATTGACTTTATTATTGACTTTATTAAAAACGGTACTATTTCACCAAGATATTTACAAAAATTAAGACGGGTGATCTTCCAATAGGCCGTATATAGCTATACTAATTACACATATACTACAGTATCTAATAATAATAACTAAATTACACACAAATTACACACTTACAGTTAGACTATTTTTAAATGTAGAGATACTTGTTTTAGCTTTTATGGCAGCAGACAGATTTTTCCAAGTCTCAGCTCCTCGATAGGCGAAAGACTTTTTCATGAAATTAGTTTTAGGTTTAGGTAATGCAAAATTGAATTCGCTCTGTCTTGTATTGTAATTATGTATTTCATTTGAGGTGATGAAAAGTTCCGTTAAGCAATTTGGTAACATGTTATGTTTGGCTTTGAACATTAGGACGGCTAAATGATGTTTTCTTCTAGTCACGAGATTTGGAAAACCGACCTTGTTCAAAACATCGATTGTACGTGTATCATAGTTTTCACGAGTTATTATTCGAAATGCTCTATTTTGAAGCTTCTGGAGTTTATCAGATAGTACTTTACCCAGACAACCCCAAATCTGTGAGCAATAGTCGAAATGTGGTTGAATTATTGATAAATAAATTTTGATCAGTGTCTCTCAATCTTTTAAGGATACTGAGACCTGAATTAACCTTTTTTGTAATTTGATCAACTTGAGCATTCCATGAGAGTGTTTCGTCAATCATTAAGCCGAGTGATTTGGTCGTTTTGACTCTATTAATTTCACTGTCTTTTATGAATATATTAGGCGTTATGTTAATATGATTGACTCTTCTATTACTACCTATTATCATGTATTCTGTCTTCGTTTTGTTTAATGTTAGTTTATTTGCCGACAACCAAACTGAAACGTTTTCTAGATCTTGATTAAGTTCCTCAGCAATTGTATTAACATCATAACCTGCCGTTTCAATTTGGGTATCGTCGGCAAACATATTGACTTTAGTGTGTTCCAGACAATTAGGTAGGTCATTTATGTAAATTAGGAACAAGAGTGGACCAAGAGCCGAACCTTGTGGTATACCCGTTGTCACACATAGAGGATCAGATAAATGGGCATTAATAATAATAATAATAATGGTATTTTAATAACACATCATCGCATGAAAATGAATTACAATGTGTTTTACAATTGATTTGAATGGGAATTACAATACTAACAGTAACTATATTACAATATATCATTAGATTATTAAATAAGAACTTATAACTAAGAACAATTATTTGTTTAAAACACTAATCATGCTAGGGAAAAAACTATTACCAAATCTACCAGTTCTACATTTAAAAGAAGCGAATTGTTTAAAATTCCTTAAATTATACACATGTTCGTTCTCACTGGTGAGAGTTAGATGGGAAGAAAGACGACTGCCCAATGCAATATTTTTCATCGTCTTTTCGCAAAGTTTACCTCGACGTATATCCAGCCTAGGACACTGCAACATTTCTTGCGCTTCACCGTAGGATCGACCTGGCAGTATAATCCTCAGCGCACGTTTTTGAATTTTCTCGACTTGTTCGGACAGATACATAGGTAGACCACAATGCCATACTGTACAACAATATTCTAATGTAGATAGGCAATATTGTATTCGACCTGTTAAATAGGAGTTGAGCCAGCGTAATGCCGACCCCCTTATGCCATAAATTGCCAACTTACTAAGAAGGATGTCGTGATTAACAGTATCGAATGCTTTTTTTAAATCAAGAAATATCACACTATTAAGTTGGCCAATGTCCATATTCTGATACCATCTATTTGTGATATCGAGCAACGCAGTTAGAGTTGAATGGTTCGGCCTAAAGCCGTGTTGGGAATTTGCTAGTAGATTTTCCTTAATCAAATATTCATAGATCTGATTGTGTATTAGCTTTTCCATGATTCTTGCAACAATTGAAATAACGGATATAGGTCTATAATTGGACATGCAGAATTTTTCCCCAGATTTATAAATTGGTGTAACCCTCGCAACTTTCCAGTCAGATGGAAATATGCCAGTGCGGATTGATTGATTAAAAATTAAAGTAAGTGATGGAGCAATATATGGTGCTGCAATTTTTAAAACTTTAGCCGAAATTTGATCCAGACCGGATGCCTTGGATATAGTTAAGTTAGAAAGCAATCTCAATATTACAGTCTCTGATACCTCTTTAAAGTGCGATAAAGTGTCAGTTGGACATTGAAAATTGGTAAAATATCTGTCGGGAGTTGACGTTGATAAGGGTATATCATTAGATAAATTATCCCCTAATTCAATGAAATATTTGTTAAACTGATTTGGGATATCCGCTTGATCAATAATTTCGTTATTTTCATTTTTAAGCTGTAGTACTTTATTGGCTTTTTTTGACTTGTTAATCACCTCACCGATTATTTTCCATGTTTTCTTAATATCACCTGAATTATTATGTATCTTTTCTTGATAGTGTTGACGCATTGTACTTTTAATCAATCTATTATAATGATTCTTCAATGATTTATAGGCTTCCCAGTCGCCGTCTAAGTTAGATAAAGTTGCCTTTCGTTTAAGATATGCTTTTTGGCCTTTATAATATTTTAACTCACGGGTTAACCAAGGTACACGTTTCTTAGACACTCTACGTTTTTTTAAGGGTGCATGTTTATTGACAATAATGAAGAAATTTATTTTTCCAAGTTAACCAAGAAATGTTGGGATCTAAATGGTCTAAATTTAGGCTTGATAATGATTCCAATTCAAAAAGAAAATTGTTTTCATTAAAGTGCTTGAAATCCCGATATTCTACAACTTCCGGGGCTCCCTTGGTTGTATAAAATTTACGAATACCGTAAATTAAGTAGTGGTCACTAATAGTGATAATTCTTACCCCACTAGAAATTATTAAGTCTGGTTTTGTTGTATAAAAGTGATCAATCAAAGTTGCGTTGTCTTTTGTGACTCTTGTAGGTTCATTTATCAATTGCTCGTATTGATAAAGATTAGTGATGAAATTCATCTCAGAGACAAGATGTGAAGGATTGCTACTTAGGATATCCGAATTAACGTCACCTAAAATAATGCTTTCTTTATTTTCATTATCAATCAATTTAAGGCAATTTTCAAATTTATAAAGTGTGTCGATAGGGTCGTTTGGGGGCCTATACCATGTGGTAAGTAGAAATGGCTTGCTTTTGTTTTTGGTAATTTCAATTGTTAAGATTTCAATATTAGGATCGTTAAGGTCAGATCTAAGCTGGAAATTAATTGTATCACGTATGAAAAAGCCAACACCACCACCAGATCTATTTCTGTCTTTGGAAACCCAAGTATAACCGGATAGGAATATCAATTCAATTGGTATAGTACTATCCATTCTAGTTTCGTTAATTGCGAGTACGTCAATATCATTATTATGCATTACTAGTCTCAGTTCATCAATATGTTTTAGAAGGCTAGCAATATTTAAGCTTGCCATTTTAAAGCCTCTAATTTTTGGAATTAAAGATTCATTTTCATTTGTATTCTCGCTATAGCTAGTGCTCGTAGAAGTTTGTTCATTTACTCTTGATTCCGATGACTTATCAGATAAATTGTTAATATGGCAAAGATAGTCTAAAATGCATATTTGTGATGAACATAGTCATTTGCGAAAAAATCAATATAGTTCTTCGCTAGTATTGCTGCTCCTCTATCATTTAGGTGTAAACCAGATGCATTAAGGCTAGAAGTATTTATATCACTATTGGAAATAAGAGACCAGTTATTATTCCTACAAACCTTTGCCAGGAGAACATTCGATTTTTTAACTTTTGTATTCAATTTGTCATCTGCCCTCTGGATGATCTCTGAAATAGCGACTTTTGACAAGCCGTTCACCATAATAGTTCTACACAGTGATTCAACTTCCTTAGCTATCTCCTCGAGCTCTTTATGTTGGATGTCATTTGTTCCAACGTGGATCACGACTAGTTGGGGATTTTTCTCCAGAGTAGGTTTAATATAATGCTTCATGTCCGAAGTAGTTGCTCCAGGAAACGTCTTGACTATAATCTTTTTCCCAGTCGAACGGCGTAATCTTGAAGGACTTAGTTTCTTTAACATCGAGTCTCCTAGGATCGCTATCAGGCCTTCGGTAGACTTTGAGCTTGAGGCATTGTGTTGATGTGTCGGTTCGACCGAGTATCTTTGCTTTTCCTTTTGGTGTTGTATTCTTCTACCGGTGTTTGTCGAATTTTCTATATGTGTTGAACTAGGGGTGACATTATGATCCATATCTTTGTTTTCATTAGATTCATCAACCGCCAACGAGGCATATTTATTTGGTTCTAAAATTTGGTTGCTCGCTTGATTAATACGTCGCGAAGGTGTTTGGTTCTTTGTTTTACCTTGGGTTTTACTTTCTGTTCGTGTCCATACTTGAGATTCGTTATTGTTTGATCTAACATTAATATCATCAGACTGGATTAAGCGAATAGCAGTTAGTAAACTGGCTTTTTCATCTCCGGCAACCTTGATTATATTATTTAATTCCGATATTGTGTTTACATGTTCATTGAGGCGATGAATTAGTTCTGCATTGTCCGTCTTTAATTTACAGTTTTCCTCACGTAATCGATCAATTTCTTTTTCCTTCTCGGCATCTGGGTTCCTTTCCAATTTAGTAAATAGAATATCGATATTATTATTGGTTCTCGACTGAAAGTTTTTGAATTGTTGTTCAAAATTGTCTATTTTCGCTTGTAGGGCATCGAGGGTGCTAGGAACCTGCATATGATCGCCTTCATTAGTATTCTTTGTCGAAGATTTGTTTTCAATATTTATTCATTCAATATTTATTATCACTCGGCATTGCAGTTTGCTCACCTTTGTTGATATTATTGTCGGGAGAAGGATTACTTATACTATTCTCTTGTGTAGTTTCGCTTTCACAAAAACTTATAGAGTCGTTATTTTCGCTATTTACAAAATGTAATAAAGAATCAGCCAGATTTTGACTAAGACTTGAGGAGCTCAAATTGACACGCTGTGATTCCGCATCATGATGCTTCAAGGACCCTTAATTTGTTTCCATATATGGCCCTAACAATGAACCGTCTACTGCTGTTTTGGTCCAATTGGGCGAGCTAGTGCTCGCCTTAAACAACATTTCCTTCAATAGTGAGCATTAACCACAGATAAGTGGTATGGCCATGGGAACCAAATTGGGTTGTTGGTTCAGTTGAAAAAAATATATGCGGACAATACCATACCATACATGATTAGCTTGGCAGGCATATAAATGGCTTTGTTAATAACTTACATTTAGCACTCCAGTTAACATGAAATATCAGTTAGATCTGTGTCTCATTATTATACATCCTGGTGTTAATCAATGGTAATAAACGAGATACTTGTGTGTTCTACAAGCCCACTGACTCCCATAGCTGTATTCCGTTATCCTTTTCCAATCCACAACCACACTAAAAGTCCATTACCTTCTATCAGTTCCTACGCCGTGTTTGCAGTGAAAAAGTCTGGAGTGAGACTCTTTTGTCCAATGTTGTTATCCCACGTCTATAATGAGACACTGCCTTTCCGAAGGCCTCCCAAATTACCCAATATGAGACATTTGTATACCATGTGTCAATGTCACGGATAAGAACGAAATTCCCTTAGTATTAACTTATAATTTTTCCGTTTCAAATTTAGATATGTCATTACGAACAATTTCCATAGTTATTAACTAGGGATCCAAGGATAGCGTAAAGTTTCAAATTAAATCAGACACGGCAAGAACTGAGTAGCGACGCCCACAACGTAGAGCAGTAAGAGCAAGCACAGGCTGAAGCAGGCATAGACTAGTTTAGGCACGTTACAAAAAATGGGGATTTAGAACAACATTTTTACGAAACAAACAATTATCCTTGTCACTCCCTTCGTAACTCGTTTATTAAATGTTGAATTGCAAGAGCTCTTATTCGGGCATGACGACTTTTAGTTTTGTAAAGCTGATGGCTTACACTACGAAATAAATAGGAAGCATAGGCATTTCATCTCATTGTCTATTGTTTTTAATGCACATGGGTAGCGCGGTGTTTGAAACAAGCTATAGCACATCAGAAGCGTCGTACCTCGTAAAATTGATACAATTTATTTATTTATTGTGATGCTACACGCGACAACTCGAAATTTAAATTGTTTCACCAACAACCACATTTTGTATATTCTAAAACTACATTTGCATCAATTGGGAGCTGTTGCTGAAAGTATCCCTTAAGGTTGCTGATATACTAAACTTATTTAAAACTATGACTGTAGCCATCATCCTTTCAACGTCCATATTGCACATTTGACTAATGTCTCAGTGGCACTCTTCAATTGAAAAAACTGTATGACTAGTTAATACGACGTCTCATCCATTACAAAAACATTAATCAAAATCACAGAAACGTAAAAATGAGGCGAAAAATTCATTAAAATGACACATTTTATCGCCATATCCGTTCCGCATTTTATCCCCATATCTGTTCCGCATTTTATCCCCATATCCGTTCCGCTTTTTATCCCCATATCCGTTCCGCATCCGCTCCGTTGATCCGCGCTTCCCAATTTTAACCTAATTGTGACTTGTTTTACAATAACAAGTCTCACTGGCCTTTGACTTTATCATTTTCAGCTTTTCGCAAGCATTCAATAATGTCACTTTAGATGTCAGTAGTTTCACAGTAATATCAGTGTTTATAGAATTTTTGTAAAAGCTTTGATACAGATAGTTTCTCCTAAGATCTGGAGAGTTTTTATTGCATTGAATATTGCATATATTGAACACGAGTTTGCAACGATTGTGCTAGACATGTGAACAAGGCCCGTGACTGTACACGCTGGATTGCTCCTTGCCTTTTTCTTCTATTTTATAAAGTTTGCTGGGAAGTGAAGTAGTTGGCGATAACATGTTGGCTATCTCCTCGTCTTTGTCGTTTGAAGAAAGAGCTCTGACGAGTCAAGAGATTTTCTTTATTCTCGCAGGTTATTTTGTTGCTTATTTTCTTCGTAAAACGCCATACAATGATACAAACACCCGCTTCTGTTTAATAGTTGTTTATGCTACTGATGTGATGCAATTTTTCGCAATTTGTATTGAGTGTAGGCTGTGTAGACATTTACTCAGTGGTGTAGCACTGCACCTTATACAGTCGATGTATAGTGAATATACGGTCTAAACAATATATGTCGGCACTTAGAATATGAATTGAATGCCGGTAAAATACAAAACAGTAATTATACATTGCGTAGAATCTCTGGCAAAGATTTTCTCAATATTCAGGTCTGAAATGTTTATATATTTGAAAACAATACTATCGCTCCTTTCTAGCTCTGTATATTAATGAATACACCGTCAAAATAATATCGATACTTAATTGAATACCAACAATCTTGAAGATTTTCTAAATATTTACGTCTGAAATGTTTATTCATTTGAAGAAAAAGCACTGTCTAGCTTCTTCACAGCTCTGTATAATAAATATACCATCTAAATAATATCGGTACTTGATTGAATGCACACATAAATGCATAACATCAATTTATATATTGCCTAGATTCTCAAAGACTTGCTTAATATTAACGTCTCAAACATTTATATATTTGAAAACAACACTGTGTCGCTCCTTCGTAGCATTGTCACGCCATCGTTGATTTAAGTACAATAAATCACTACAAACATAAGTCGTATGCACCCCCAGCAAAGTTTACTATATGACTGCTGACTGACTGACTTATTCGTTCGAATTTTCGTCACTCATCACAATAGTGTAAAGTGAAACTTTACACTAAAAACGAAACCGAAACGTCTTCTATTTTCTTCGATAACCGCTCACTCTCTTTTCGAAAAAGCAGAAATGTCCGTTACACACCTAGTCATAGCTCCCTACGACATGATTCGTAGTCACATAATGCCACGTTTCCTAATTGCTGGGTTGCCAAGTACAAAAATTTTGTGATTTTAACGTTTCTGCTGGCATCATGTATTTCAGCACCTAAATCTCTATGCCATGGCAAGCACGATTTAATCTGCACCACCCCTCCTATATCATCTAACGCATCTCATGCAGTGCATAGAAGTGGCATGCTTTACATTGGTGAAAATGAAAGATCTTTGAGGACAAGTTTGGTGAGCATCGGGATGTATAGTCATTGGCAATTTTGCTAACCAGCCCTTTGCCAGATATTTTAATACTGGCAATTACAGTGCTACTGATATGGAAATTCGAGCCTCCTGCCCCATCGAATAGCAACATGCGATAAAGATACTCCTTTTCAAATCACAATAGCCAAAGTGCCCGCTTAATTTGTTGTGAAATGTCGAACCAGGTTCAAGATTTCAGCTAAACACGAAGAAAATTTATACAATTCCTTCCCCGTTTGTAACCGATTTATCGACTTGATTTTAATGATTTTAGCGAAATCTACTATGTAGTACAAAACGAGTGTTATATTTATATAAAAATGTTATCGATCTTTGGAGTAACACTTGTTTTGTATTTTGTAAACTGCTGCAGGAACACATTGCTATTTGAGCGAACTGAGATTTTTCAATTAACGGGCAGTGAAGATTGAATTGAGTATAAAAGTATTGCGTTGTGTTACTAATCTTGATGTCATATTTTCAATATGACATTTTTCATTCGTGTAAGATCGCTGGGCTGGAGAACGTTCCAGTTTCCCCACACTATAGGAGGCCATTTAAATATCTAGAAGGTACAGTTACGAAATGCTCTAGTTTTACTTTCAATTTAAAGGTGATGTAAAATCCGTAATGTGACCAAACGCTTTGTTTACATTTTGAACTCAGTGCTACAGTTGTAAAATATGTGATTAGATGTATATTATACTGAATTTTTAACACTCTTCTTGTTCGCTATGCTTGTAAATGAATACATGCAAACTAGAGATTCAATTCAAGAAAGTTTGGAAGGTGCGAGATATTAACAACATGCCAATGGGCGGTTCTGGTTCCCTATGCTTGTAAATGAATGCATGCAGACTAGAGATTCAATTCAAGAAAGTTCGGAAGGTGCGAGATATTAACAACATGCCAATGGTCGGATCCCGACCATTGGAATGTAGGCCTGCGCAGAACGTGTGCGCAGAAAGAACATTATAGCACCTTCAGAATTGATTAACCTGCATAAGTATAGAGATTGTATTAATTTTTACGTTTAAGTTGCGAACAATTATTATCAAAACTGTCCGTAAGCAAGCCAAAAGCCAATTCATTGTTCATACATAAGAAAGTAACTATGAAATTTATAGTAACAAAAAGAGAAAAGCATGATATCTTAATTAACATAACGTAACACAAAGTTCAATCCGTAGCTTCCAAATATCCGCAAGGTTTGAAAGTAATATATATCTTTAAAGGCGACTTTGAATACATTTAAACTTTTATTTAGATCGCGTAAACAGTACAGAAATATTGCCATTTATTCCTGATCAATGTCTATTCGGAAATCCAAGATCTCGCTATTTTACTATACATCATTCAGATCTGTTCACAGAATACGACAATAAATAAACTCTGAGTGAAATGTAATATTTCCCGTTTAAAATAATGCTGTACTTTGTATACCTGTGTTAATTAAACTTTTATTTAGATCATCAACAGTGGCGCAGCCACGATTTGGTCCCGCTATGCCAATTTCAACTCATTATCATTATTAATTTATTTAGAAATTGATTGTGTCGATAGTTTATAAACATGGCAACAGTTGCATAGCGGAAATAAGAAAACTGTAAGGAAACTATTGTAGACTGAATCGTTGGGCTGGCTACGCCACTGATCATCAAACAGTTGAAATATTGCCATATATACTCATTCACTTACATGATGTTTTAAAATGCAAAATTTTACAACTTTACTAAATTCGAATATTACACAGTACAATATTGTCTAGTGTTGTTATAAATGCACTACTTGTATTATTCACCAGATCAAAATAATATGCAAGTGCCCTATGATGACTGTATTTCCTATTATATGGACGATAATAATAAACATATACAACAGCCATGAAATAAACAATCACTATGGCCAAAGACGATGCCTAGAAGCGTGGCATATAAATATGAGCAATCATGCTTTGAATAGGGATGACGGACCCTACTTGCCACAGGAATACATGCATCTTACTGACAGATGACGTCATCCCTTGGGTATTTAAGAAGCCACATTGCAACTTTAGATCACCCCTGATGAAGACACTAGACTGAAGTTTTGAAACGTTTGGTTTTGCTTACAATTCGACAGGCTTTGTATTCATTTATATAAACCAGATTAGCGAACGTATACATGTTCTTAAATAGTCCAATCTTTCTTTCAATTTAGTTGTATCCATCCTAATCATACGTAGGAGACTGTCTTTCAAAGAAAATCTGAAAATAAAAAATCAGGTGCGTATAACCCTATTGTCTAGAAACATTTGCAAGGAAGACGCTTGCCAACCAAGTTGAATTGAAACAATGAGCAAAACAGAAGTATAGATAACAAATAATATTTTACTGTTACGCTAATTAAGTATTTTAGTATGTGTTGTGTACGTACATCAGCGGTATTTTAGGGACCAGCGCATGGGCAAGTTACGGCGAAAGGCAAGCTGATATTTCATTTGCTAATCCAATGCTTATACCACTGGAGTAACGAGTACATGTCGGATCTGCAACACCATCATCACATTAGCGTTCTTGCATGCCGGCATTTCATATCAAATTTCGAGAAGCCATAGAAAGTAATGCATTTTGTATTATGATTCATACAGCTCCCTAGCCTGTTCATGTAGAAAAAGTGCTTAAACTTCTTCGGCGACCAAATAACGCAATAAACAATGGCGTAGCCATTTCTTACTTCGACAATCAATTACAATGTTTCTTTGCTATTCCAAGTTTTGCGTCTCGTATTTATACTAGCTGAATTAAGACATCTGCTAAGTAATTCATATACACCTTTGACCAAACTTTTGTGATCAATAATTATGCCCGAAACGCTTGACATATACCCATTCAAGAAAAGATTATTCGTTAAATTCATATTTCGTTAATTATATACTTCAACTATTATGGGAGAAGTGAATAAAGTCCAATCTACCCGTTTTCTGTATTTTCTTGTGTTCTCATCAAGAATGAGTAATTGGGCATATTTCTGTTTTACATAACGAAATTCAAATTATTTGCGCCATTTTTCGTTGCAGGCGTTTAATATTTAAACTTTTAAATAACCATTTTTTTTAATTTTCATCAATTTATTTGAAGATTATCATTGCAATTTCATAAACAAGACTTATATATAGAGAACCTTTCCATTATCCTATTATTTCTTTTTACTGGTATAGATGACAGGAGAATCTCGCATTCGTCACCACAATTTAGGTGACGATGCTGTAGGTTATGCTTTCCACAATGCTATTTATGACGACGCTAGTGAGAAGAAAAAAACTGAGAATATGGATGATGTTCGTCTCTCATCTTCCGTTGAGTTGAAGAACGCCCAAAGTGATGTGGTCAATGTGAAGCCAACTGAGACAACATCGGCATTTGAAAATCCAGCTTTTGAAGAAATGTCTGCTTGCTGAATAAAATTCTGATCTTACTTATTTAACTCGTGTATTGGAATATTGGCAATGATAGTATAATGATTTTAATAATAATGATCATAATGATGATAATAATAATGTGTGGATACAGATATGTACCCAGGTCTAAAGCTTGATTTTTAGAGACATTGATTATTTGAATGGGGATTTGATATATACTCGATAACACCATTAACTTATATAGATATTCATAGTCTGTGAAGATATGATGGTCTGGAATCCCGGAAAACTATAAACCACAAAATAGAAGACCTTTGTTTGATGTTGAAATGTACCTCGCCGTGCACAGATCTTTTGACTCAATTTCATTAAATATTATTAATCGTGGCTGCACGTTTAATCTCAACTATCCCTATTGGGCAATTACTTAATTATATGATTAATTATACGAGTCCAATCACGGTGACCGTACGTGCATAAATTAACATACATTCAAACAAAAAATATAACGAACACTTCTGTTTAGTTTCCAGACAATCTTCTGATATGCAATGATATATTCGATTGCACCATGCATAATGGTTTACAGCTATTTCAATTAAGGTTGTCCCCGAGCAAAGCGAAAAAGTCGAATACGAGCGCGAAAGGCTGCTGGGAATCGCTAATAAATTCAGTTAATTTTTTAGCCATTCCCAGCAACCTTTCGCGCTCGTATTCAACTTTTTCCGCTTTGTTCGGGGATAATCTTAATTGAAATAGCTGCATACCATCGTGTTAGTACTATTGTACCCTATTGCAGCAGCATTTTACTTATTTATACTCGATAGCACCATAATACAGTATACTATCTTGCTATAGTAACGATTGAAGAACAAACAGGAAGATATAATTTGTTATAAATTACCGTGCACATACTGTAAGGTGCATGCATTGACTTGTATCACATAACTCGGTAAATTAATCTGCTTATGTATTACTTTGGTTATATTTCCTGAATTAAATATACAAAAAAAAGCATAATGTTATATTTTTGATTTTTACTTGTGTGTTTCCGTTTCCCTTCAAAATATATTGCACGATTTAGATAATTGAAGGTAACATAATTGTTTCCTATTATTCATGTAAAAATCTTTTGTTAGAGCGAGAATTTTGTCCATGTGTTTTCTTGGTAAAGATTTCAGGGAACGCCGTACTTTTTATTTCGCTATCGGTGATTTCCACGAGTGATACATAATCCCCGAGCCGGCGGCGCGAGGCGCCGTGCGAGGGTACTAATTCCCCCCGGCTATTTACACCCGGGGAAACGAAAGCATTAGGGAAGTCTAAAGTTCATCAAATATCGCGGGCGTGGGTCACTGTGCGTGGGTGGTCATCCTCACTGATCCCAAAAATATGGTGGATTGTCATGAATAGCAAACACTGTGATTGGTCCAATTTAAAGTTTGCATTATAACGACTGCATGACGACAGCGAAATAGACAGCATTTCTTTATTTGATGAATGATGATTGATGAATTTCTTGCAAATATATTTAATTTTTGCTCGCATTTTTGCAAGATTTTGTAAATTTCAAGAAAGAAATGAATCGGCTAAAAGAAGGGAGCCGACGTTAACGAAGGTAAGTTTGTTTTAAATATTGATTTTATAATTGCTTTAAAACCCGATGGCCTTTGCGTATATGAAACAACTAAACAAGACAGCATATCAGCAAAGATTAAGTATATAAATATCGGGGCCCCAATTCAGTGTGTACATGTCTTTAATATTGATTCCCTTTTTTATTATATATTGAATTTTTTTAAATAAAGAAGAAACCAAAGTTATTTGCATGCTAGAATTTGAAATCATTTTATTGCAAACTCAAAGTTTATCGATAAAGCCATTTCATTGAAGGCAGACAGTAGCGTAGCCAGCCTGAAAATTTACTCCTGGTATGTAAATTTCAAAGCATTATCATTATTCATTTCTTTAGAAATTCATTGTTTTTACAGTCCATGAACACAGATATATTTGCATAGCAGGAGCAAATAGTCAGGCTGGCTACGCCACTGAAGGCAGTTTAGTTTTATAAAGAACACTTTAAAACGTTTTGCGAAGCGTTTGTGGTTGAATTTTACCTTAAATTGAAACTTATATTACGTATAATATCATACCTAACATATATATGTTGGGAAATTGATAATTTTGTAATTAAAAGTGATATTTTTAACCGATTTTTCATTTGTAAGAACGATTACCTCTGAACGATTACCGAACTTCTTAAAAAATTATCGTGTTACCATGGCAACTACTTTAGATACTTCATGTTCGGAAAATACAATGGGTTTTTTTATGTTGGTGTAGTGTACTCAGGTGAATATGATATTTGTGGTGTTACGCTGAGTGTATATCCACACCGGGCGAGCTTGAAAAATATGCCCGGCCACGGTGGGATTACCTCGAATCCCACCGTGGCCTGGCATATTTTTCAAGCTCGCCCGGTGTGGACATACACTCAGAGTAACACCACAAATATTACAATGGTTTTGTCAGCAAGGCGAGGGTTTCTGCATGCATGTATTTTCTAGTATCCCACGACACTATCAACGTTAATTATACACATATTTTAAACTAACGAATACATTAGCGTTGCTCCATGCATGCAGAAGATAATTCAGGGGTATCAATGAACTAATTATATAAACTTCAAAATCAAAATTTAAAAATAGTATAACTTTTCAAGCTCACAGGATCAATACAGATGTTGGGCTTAAGACCGAATGGCAATCATAGAAGAGCAACATTTCTATTAACGTATTAAATTGTGTTTTTGAATGTCAATTAACGTATATTATTTAGCGAGAGAGCCCGGTAAGTGGGATGAATTTCTCTTGTGTTTATCAGTGAGAAAATGTTCTCCCGCTTGCTGGGACAATGCTGTTGTTTTGATAATAGCTTGCGGGTGTATCTTTGAACTTTCGTCCAAGCGACCGGGCTAGCCAGCTTGTAAGTGTTTATATATAGTGGAGAAATTTCCATCGCGGTAAGCTAGATCTGGCCTCTTCAAGCGAGATCACGACAACCAGGCCAGCCTGCTGGTCCATATAAGCGCATGATAATTTTTACTATAAAAGTAATTACACATTGAGATCCCACTTACCCAGCATGGGCTCCACCTTTGAATTTACTATATGAGTAAATTGTTAAACAGGTCCGAATTTATCAATATGATAAATTCGCGACACATGATGGCTAACACTATAATCCTTACCGTAACCCCAACCCTAACCACTAACCCCTAACCCTAATTAATCTAACTTTTTTTAAACTTTTCTGAAAATCTGACTTTTAAACTTTTTTTTATTTTTTTTTGAAAATTTTGAAAATCTCTAGAAATCTTTACCTGTGATTCTTAAAAACAGTGCATGTGATGCATTAAGCATTCAGTGCAGTCGCCAAACTCAAATCGTGCGTTCTGGCGCTACTTTAAAGGATACGGGCATTTGTTTCACATCGAATGCAATCTGCGCCCGACATAAACGTGTGAAGATTTGTAAAAAGCACTTGACATCCAATCTTCACCAGGAAAGACAGCAAAATCAGCAGTCCATCATTTTGACCCATCGTAGGACGTTCAAGAGACTGATGGCGATGAATGAGTCGAGCGACGAGGACAGAGATATTTATCGCGACAGCGAGTTTGACCTAACCTGAGTATCAGGCCCTCGGTATTGAAAGAAGGCCTGACACAATTCGCCTCTAAAGCCATGTTCAATATCCAGAATCTGGATGTTATGCTGATTGGCTAAGAGACAATAAAACGCATCATGTGATTCAAACCGGAAATATATGACCGGCGTATGTAAACACCAAAAATAGAATTTGTAATTTTGTCAATATACTATATAAAATACTATATTTTATATCTATTTTAATTTATATAACTTTCTGCACGTGCAAAATATGTTTCAAATAGTCTATTTTATTGTTATTTTGCAAGCTAAGAAAGAAAGATAGGATTAAAATAGTATGTTTTATCCCTGTTTGAAATTTATGCGTTTACCTTGCAAGTGTAAAATAGGATTTAAACAGCATATTTTATTTTATGAGTTTAAAAATAGTATATTTTATATCTATTTTAATTTCTAACTGCTTTCTAGTGAAGTGAAATAGAATTTAAATAGGCCATTTTAAACCTATTATTTCGCTGAGGCTCTGGAAAATAGTATTAAAATATGCGATTTTATTTCTATTTATAAAAATCGGAATAAAATAAAGTAAAACATTAATAAAATATGGCTCTTTCTTTTAGTGAAATATTATGATAGAATTAAAATAGGGTTGCCTCTCAATAATTAAAATAGCATAAAAATAGGGGTGATAGTAATAAAATAGTTTTAAAATAACAATATAATATAGTTATTTTCGCAAGGCATGCAAATGACGTAATAAAACGAAATAAATAAAATAAAATAAAGTAGAGCAGACTTGGCAAAGAACACTACTTTCATCTCAATGGAAACTATACTCGTCTCTACGTCACTGAGTAGTGAGCTTGGAAAATGCAACTGCAACGTGAATGAACATCGACAACTGAAATATATTCCCATATAAATTCGATTCTAAATTTTATTCCAAGCTCTATAATATAGTTTACAGACCCCAAAGTGATTGAAATGGTTTATGTTATTACTTACCATGGCGCGCCTGTAACGCAGTAGTTGTCGCTCGCTTAAATTAAGTGCTCGTTAATCCGAAATGAAGGAATTGTAAATTCGAAGATCGTGGTGTTTTAATAAATTAATTATCTCCATTATTAGCTGAAGTACATGCTAGTGCGGTGTCAGTAGCTTGCGTCCGAAGTATATTTATTGTCTGTTTTTCTAACATTAAGAACATGCCAAGGAATTTTCGGCCAGAATTTTTTTAATATAATGGTATATTTTAAACGACCATGTTCATGCTCATCCAAATGTATATATCGCCAAGTGACAGTTGAGCAATGAAAGATGAAATATTCGAGGTAATTTGTAGTATATATGCATGATGTCGAAATAAATACATACTCTTACATAAATGTTTTAGGGCATTTCTTTGTATTCAATAACACGATTTTTATGTACGTGGAACTTACAATAAAATGTATTAATTAAAACGGTCGAAGTTTTGACCATGGTAACCTCCAAATATTTTCTGACATATGCGCATGGATGATGTCTGAAGAATTGGAAATCTCCTATCATAAAAATATTTTGCATGGCTACTCAAAAAAAATACAGCACAAACATGAGTAGCTAAGTCGCGTGGATGCTGCAAAAGTAATTCCAATGCAAGGAAGCGTTTACTTCATACGCTATTGTTTGTACGAGGCAATCCAGAAAATCATTTTGGAAGTGAAAATATAGGTATCTAATTCAATACAATGTCCATTACATGTAGTCATATATGACTGAGAATTACTATTTAAGTTAATGACATTCAACGACTATATTCACTATATAATAACAATAGAAGTCAATTATTCTTTATAGTTCCAAATCAAAACGGTAGTAAATGAATTCCACATCATTTTGCAGCATCGAGGTTTGTCAGTCATTTTTGTGGTGGTGGAACTTCTTCAATCACAATACGCGATATGGAGTTCCAACCAGAGTCGCCATCAGCATTTCCATAACCCTTACAATTTCCCACCCAGAAACCAACGCGGACAATACCTTTGGGAATTTTATTGCAGCAACCTTCGATATGACGGTGGCGATGAATATTCTGTCCTGAGCCTTTTGCCATGTAAAAAACACCATCAATAGCTAATGGTTTATTGCATTCCCCTCCATTGAAAGTGAAATACCAACGTTTGCAACAATTGTTACAGCTGGCTATACGTAAATTACCGCCATAGAAGATTTTCAGAGATGAATCACTATGTTTCTTGCTGAACACACAATCCTTGACGGAATATATCAGAATCAATAAAAATATTTTCAAGGCTTGAATTCTACTATCAAATTTTGAATGGAATGGAGAGAAAATTAAGGTAAATATTTATCAGCTCTAATTCATCCAATCCAAACATCTTAGTTGTATTTACTCTCTATACCCAAAACACTGAACGGTTGAGGGCCGGTGGTTTAATTTATTTATGGTAGTTCATACCCAATTTTAACAAACCTGTATTAATCCGTTATCTTTGAGATCTCTCCGATTCCAAGCACATTGCTTCCAGTTAGAGTACAAACCACTGTCTGATCCTGCTGATCCTCTTTGCCCAGGAGCACCTTTAGCCCCAACAGCACCTGTAGAACCCACGTCCCCCTTTGCGCCAGGTATTCCATGTGTTCCGGGCGAACCAGGAACGCCAGGTATTCCTGGGATACCATTGCAGGCGGATGAATGCTTTGGCTAAAAAAAGGGAGATGGAGTATTTAATTTGACTTGGCTTCCCTTACAAAAATTTCACATAACATTTCATATATGAAATCGTTATATGGAATTGAAACAAATTTCATATATGAAATATTTCATATATGAAATATTTCATATATGAAATATTTCATATATGAAATATTTCATATATGAAATTTTCATATATGAAATTGTTTCAATTCCATATAAAGATTTCATATATGAAATATTTCATATATGAAATTTTCATATATGAAATTGTTTCAATTCCATATAAAGATTTCATATATGAAATAATTCATATATGAAATTTTCATATATGAAATTGTTTCAATTCCACATAAAGATTTCATATATGAAATATTTCCTATATGAAATTTTCATATATGAAATTGTTTCAATTCCACATAAAGATTTCATATATGAAATATTTGATATATGAAATTTTCATATATGAAATTGTTTCAATTCCACATATAAAGATTTCATATATGAAATATTTCATATATGAAATTTCATATAAAGACTTCATGTATGAAATTCTCACATGTTTCAAATGTTCAAATGTTAAGTTTTCTGCATTGAAATTAAGCGAGTCAGGGGAAGTTTATGCGATCCCATTTACCCGAGATTAAACAAAGCGAGCAATGGCTTTAAGGTATTGAAATAAGTCCTTATGAAACCAGACAAGCACATGCTAACAACAGACTAAATATAGATCAATGCAAAAAACATATTCGCACGAATTAGTGCTCAACAATTACATTTTGCCCATTTGATATTTCTACAGAACAAAATCAAAAGCCACCTGGATCATGTTATTTTTCCGAATCATTAACATATGACTTATTTCAATATCTCAAAATCATTGCACGCTCGTTTAATCTTGTGTAAGCTGGATCATATGAACTGCCCCTTAGAAAAATCTTCCTAAATAAGAAAGTTACGTGCTATGCAGGTTTGATATATCACATCAGACACTAGTTTATTCGAAATATACAAATTACAAAATAATAAAAACTTAATTACAATATACATATATTTACTCTCGGTTACAAAAAATATCCCAAACTTTGTGTGATTTTGAGGAAATTATCCATTTGGGACATTTTTTATACACCCTGTATATATGCATTACTCAACTAAAAGCATGCAGAAATAAAAAAATCAGGGGTGGGTTACCAGTAACACCATGCAGGGACAAGACCAAAGATTAAAATTAAGAAATGCATATAATATCATTACTAAAATATTAAAACGAATACTGTATGTTTGTGTTCTCTTAACAGTTCTCCTGCTTCTCCAGTTCACATTGAATCTTTTTCTTGCATTCTTAGTTAATTTCGAAAAATTCTTGGGCCTATCCACCTCAGTTAAGGCATTTGCTGTCAGCATGGACTAATAAAATAAATTATATGGTTTATAAATGGTTTAGAAATATATATGGTTTAGAAAGATATAAATGAAATATATAAATGGTTTAGAAATTATATGGTTTATATTATATGTTTTATACAGTAAAATTAATATACATTGTGAGATCTGAATTTTCTTCTTGTCAGTGACTGCAGTCAAGCCTGTACTGTTTCAGTCAGTCACTGTCCACATGTCATACGACTAAATCGTTAGACAGAGTAAAATAATACTTAAAGCAGGGCGCATTGGCACAATGCAACTGAATGGATTAACTAGATTATTAGACATATGGCCAGATGGGCCAGTTAAGTTACTGTACCTATTAAATGCCAGAGCTCTTGACGAGTAAATTGTCTGGCTGTAGACAGAGTAAAATAATAAAGCAAGGCACATCGGTGCAATGCAACTCAATGGATTAACTAGACACATGGGCAGATAGGCCAATTAATCCATTAATTAAGCACCAGAGCTCTGCCCTTGATGAGTAAATCATCTGGCGTTAGACAGAGTAAAATAATAAAGCAGGGCACATCAGGGCGCAATGTGTTAACTTATATCACAAAGAAAAATATCAGTAAACTTACATGCTTGCCTGTCTTGTTTTGGTGGGTCTGCCGGTCTCCTTGAGAAAAATATCAGTGAACTTACATGCTTGCCTGTCTTGTTTTGGTGGGTCTGCCGGTCTCCTTTGGTTGCCTGTCTTGTTTTGGTAGGTCTGTCGGTCTCCCAGAGCATGTGGAAGGGAAGCTATTACACATCTGAGGGTTAACTATAAAAGGGTACAAATGGTGCATATATTAAATAAGAGCATGTGGAAGGGAAGCTATTACACATCTGAGGGTTAACTATAAAAGGGTACAAATGGTGCATATATTAAATAAGTATGTTGAATATACGAATATACTGTACAGTCATACCAACACTCTCCTCTTAACAATAAAGTCGTTCAGCATTTCAAGACAATGAAACATAACAAATAACTAGGGATGCAGTGGATATCATATCTGGCCAGATATTGAGATTTTACTTCATTTTCTGTTACATGGCCACCCAATACTGGGTATTATTTACATAAGGTTCAGGCCTTCAAGATTTACAGTTACTGCAGGTTAGATGATTTGATTAGCCGGTTAGATGATTTGATTAGGCTAAAAAAGCAGGGGTGGTTATCATATTTTTATTCAATGATTGATAACAGGAATGCTTGTAAACACTATTTTCAAGATTTTATATGCTTGTTTGTAAATTCAGATTTGACCATTGAACTAATGCAAGTGAGGCTTTTGCTACCAATGATGCATGTTTACTAGTGCTAGACTGTGAATTTCTTTCCTATTATTTCAAATCAAAATTTTATAAACACCATCACTTTTTAACCAATTAAAATGATTACTTAAATTAACCTTAAATGAGGCATGAACCTTATATACTTGAATAATACCCTGAATCTGGCTCCAGGGATATTTTTCAACTATCCAACATATCCTCAACTATCCAACATATCTGGCTGGAGGGCAAAAAGACTCTACCCTGCACACCCCTACAAAGAACTTAAAGTATGTAACATAAGAAGAAATTGCTCCTTAGGTGTTAATAGGTGAAATATGGGCAAGTAGTCCACAGTCGATTATCAAAATTGTCTAACATGACATGTCAGAGTTGAATATCAAAGTACTTACAGTAGGTAGTGTTAGGGAAAATTGTATCTAAATATATCAACATGAAACATGGGCAGAGTCTAGCTAGACAGTTCCCTTGACAAATAAAATTGTCCGGCATTAGGCAAGATAACATTTAACAAAGTGCTGAAAATTGGGCTCATTATAGTGAATCAGTGAAATAGGTAATAATTCCAAAAACCATCAAATCCTTGCCGGGGTGTATATCTTAAATATATAAAATGTAGCCCAAAGGTTGTTACATATATTATTGATTTAATTTAACAGATCATCTGATCATGCAGGTGGCATAAATAAATGTTATTTGCTGTGTTGGTGTAATGTACTGAGGTGAATAAGATGCTTGTGTGATGTTACTCTCATTGTATATCCTCACCAGGCAGGCTTGAAAAATATACCTGGCTACGGTGGGATTCGAACCTACGACCTTTGGAGTACTAGCCCAATGCTCTTCCAACCGAGCTACGCGGTCAGGTCAGTTCGAGTATGCTATATTTTGGAACTGAGTCTAGTTCCTTCAATATCAGTGTAATCTTTTATAATCATTTGCTGTGTTGGTGTAATGTACTCACGTGAATAAGATGCTTACAAGTGTGATGTTACACTGAGTGTATATATATACACCACCTGGCCACGGTGTAAAATATGCCTGCCCGGTGTGGATATACACTCGGAGTAACACCATAACATCACACAAGCATATAAAACTAAATGAATTCATATAAAGTTTGAAAGTTGCCACACAACCCATCAAATTGACAACTTTTATCTAAACTGACCCACCTATGTATGAATAAATATTAATAGAAACTTATGAAAGTACCAGTTAATTGGAAACAAATCGATAAATTCTCTCAAACCATGTTTACCTAGGACATACCTAGGTAGGCATATGAGAATTGAGTAAATCAAGTAGATGCCAAGCTATATTATTTTATACAAGGAACACTTGATCTGGCAATCCGTCATATACACAACTAGTCTATTTGGCATTACAACAAACATAATTTGATATAAAGGCTGAATCAAATGTTAAGTCTTTGTATAAAAACTAATGTATTTATATTGTCGCAGCAAATTCAAATTTTAAGACGGAACACATGCTCAAAATTCACGAATAAAGATAGTAAATATTTCCTTTCAAAATTGCTCGGTTATATAGAAAACAAAACAATATTCTTACCTGGAAGTTACTCAGTCATCCCTGATGTTCCATTTTCGCTAAAATATACCATCTTCCAGTAAATTACTATAAATCTTTCGATCGAGCAGATGAAAATTCACTGCATTTCAAAAATATGGCGGTGTGATCGAATGATGCTATCCCAGGAAGCTTTGCGCGTGTTGTAGGAAAACTAGGCACCAGTCTGTCAACCGTCAAAAAGCGCTCATCATGAGAATTTTCGTTTTCAAAATGGTCTTTTGTATAACAAAAATACCTACCTCCACAAGCTATAATATAGTTCCCATGAAGTCATGAAGAATTTAAGATTAACTCAATCCCTCAATCAAAACATTGGTATCGAAATTGAGGAGACCGGACTCAGGCCTGGAACACCTGGGAGCCCAACTTGCGGGCAGGGGGCCCTGGCATGCTGGAATTGGGAAATTTGTAAAATTAAGGATTTGTTCGGTGAATTATGGAATTTTCTGGGAAATTTAGGTCGAAAATTAGTGTTGCGAAAAATTTTGGGGACTTTTGTTTTCGGAAACATAACGTCGCCCCATCCCCCCCCCCACTCGCGACCGTTTTCCGGAAAAGAAAATGTTTTCGAGGGGGTCCTGCTTGGGTAGGGAGGCCCAAATTTTTTAATACGCCCCCCCCCCCCCAATCGTATACCGGTTGGCACGGCCCTGTCAGTTTATACTATAATAATTAGTCAGTATAGTCTTTTAAATATAAAATGCTTGAAGAATTAAGTTCAAGAAACTTGAAGAAGGAATATCTTCAAAGAACTGCCAGCATTTCACATGTTGTCTTTTATTCTCCTGTAACACAACGGTTGTAAATGTAGTTTCAAATCGAGTTGCAAATCTATTTATTTGATTTTTTGCAAACCTATTTATTTTTTACCCCTTCAGGACCCTCTTCCATGACCATGGAGTCAAAACTACCCTTGGAATTGAAACAGGGGCGTAGGAACCAAGGGGCCAGAGGGGCCAAGGCCACCCAAGTTTTCAAAAGTGCCCTCTTTTCGGTGGCAAAGTGCCCTTTGTGTTCGTGAGAAATGTTGTCAGGGGTGCCCTTTTCATTCTAAAAGTACCCCTCGAAACCGCGCCCCCCCCCCAACTTTTTGATGCTTTCTACGCCCCTGAGTTGAAACGACCCTTTCGAGGTGTAGAAACTATACCCTCTTTCCAAAGAGACGGAAATGACACCTAGGGTTAAAAAAGGTCAAATCCACTCTTTTGAATTTTAATACAGTGTAGGCCAGTTCCAATTACAATTCACTATGACATGAATTAGGCTACGTGTATGAAATTACTTTAATTGTCATATGTGAAATGTATAATTTCATAATATGTGAAATATATAACTTGATTTTCATATATGAAAATTCACATATGAAATTACCAATATTCACATATGAAATAGATTTCATATATGAAATTTCTTTTTTCATATAAATTGTATATAACTTCATATATGACATGATTTTCATATATGAAAATTCTTATATGAAATTAGCTACGTACCAAATTTCACATGTGAATCGGATTTCATATATGAAATTTAGTTTCCATGCATATGTGAATTGTATAACTTCATATATGACTTGATTTTTATATATGAAAATTCTTATATGAAATTACCAACTTTCACATGTGAAATGGATTTCATATATGAAATTTCTTTTTTCATATGTGAATTGTATATAATTTTCATATATGAAGATTCTTATATGAAATTACCAAATTTCAGTGTGAAATGGATTTCATATATGAAATTTAGTTTTTCATATGTGAATTGTACTATATAACTTCATACATGACTTGATTTTTGATATATGAAAATTCTTATATGAAATTACCAAATTTCAGTGTGAAATGGATTTCACATATGAAATTTAGTTTTTCATATGTGAATTGTATAACTTCATATATGACTTGATTTTCATATATGAAAATTCTTATATGAAATTACCAAATTTTACATGTGAAATGGATTTCATATATGAAATTTAGTTTTTCATATATGAAATTAAAATTTCATATATGACTTGCTTTTCATATATGGAAAATTAATATGTGAAAAAGAGAATTTCACATATGAAACTGAAATTTCATATATGAAATTACCTTTTCACATGTGAAATTCTAATTTCATATATGAAAACCTTCATTTCATATATGAAAATCTTCATTTCATATATAAAATTCCAATTTCATATATGAATTTTAATGTGAAATTTTTGTAAGGGTCAATACCATATACAATAGAGCGTAATTCTAATTCATCCCAGCTATTTACACCCGGGGAAACGAAAGCATTAGCGAAGTCTAAAGTTCATCAATTATCGCGGCCGTGGGTGGTCATCCTCACTAATCTCAAAAATATGGCGGAATGTCATGAATATAGCGGACACTGATTGGTCCAATTTAAAGTTTGCATTATAACGACTGCATGACGACGGCGAAATAGCAAACATTTCTTGATTTGATGATTGATAAATTTCTTGCAAATATATTTTATTTTTGCTCGCAGTTTTGCAAGATTTTGTAAATTTCAAAAGCTTTCCCAGAAAGAAAGGGTGAAAGAATCGGCTAAAAGAAGGGAGCCGACGTTAACGAAGGTAAGTTTGTTTTAAATATTGATTTTATAATGGCTTTAAAACCCGACGGCCTTTGTGTATATGAAACAACTAAACAAGACAAGCAGCATATAATTTCAGTGCATCTTTAATATTGATTCCCTCTTTTTATTATATTGATTTTTTTAAATAAAAAAGAAAGCAAAGTTATTTGCAAGCAAGAATTTGAAATCATTTTATTGCAAACTCAAAGTTTATTTATTTCTAAGAATATTCTTAAAAAATTATCGTGTTACCATGACAA